GGGGAATATTGCTCCATAAGGGAACATTAACCATTGGATCATCTTGTCATACAAGCATAGTCCGAAGAATGGAACAGTCCAGAACGTCTCATTGTTCTCTTTTGTTTCTAGTTCAGATGGAGATTTGGCTCGTTACCTCCTTTTGAAGGATACCAGATCATTAATATACCTGAAGTTTAAAGGCTCCTATATCACACCCAAATTCTCTAAAAATAAATAATGCATTTTTGTCGATAATACTAACTATCAGCCTTCAGGGAAGCTACCATATAATTCATTCCATAAAATAATGAATGAATGAATTAATGCATTACGCGTCCTCTAACATCATATCAACCAAACCCCAAAGAGTTATGTCCTTCGGGGTGCTTTTTACGAATATCCTACGCACAACTTGTGATTGAAACCAGTTCGGCAAACACCGACAACACCGCGTGCGGCAGTTTTCGATGTACGGAGCAAATGTTTACATTCCATATATGGCAAGTGTTCTCTATTTGGAAGCTCTTCGTCACGAAGTCGAAAGGGATAATAAGTCTTTTATTGCATCAATAGGAAACCAAAGTGAGTGCAAATTCCCCAATAAATATAACATAGGCCAAAATAGTGTCGAAAATGTGTGACATTGTGCCTTTAAAACGCAGTAGTGCAAATATGTTATGGGTTATTTGAAAGCAAAGTTCCTCAAATTCTCAAAGGACATAAAACCTAAGGTTATATATGTAACAATCGTCATATTTAAACGGAACAGTTACACTTTGGGTGTAGCATTCGGTAACAACGCCGAGTTAAAAGCGTCTATATGTACAAGGCTTCATGTATATATAAACAACCCGCTATGAATCAATGCGAGGACCAACCCAGCGCAAGAACTCCATGATCGTCCTTCTCAGAAGTGTGTGTTATTTACAAACTTCAGACCTTGTCCTTCACCTATCAATGACCTTCCATATCAAACAGAAATACATAGATCCAAAAATAACAGACCAATCGCAACCTAGCTCACCACCTTATTGATGGTTCGGTTGATCCCTTTAATTGACGCGTAAGAGTTGGTGAAAGTAGTCATGTTGATATTGTTAAAATAGATACCTGGATTGTTCCACAGAAAGTGATCATAAATGGATTCTCCACGGTGTAGTGTAGCCAATACAGTCATTGTTACCACCAGGAATGTGTGAAATAGGTGCTTCACCTACAGGCAAGCATTACTCGGAACAAGGTATGAACAATATGGTGAATCCACCGGCAAGATATATACCGTGTGGCATGGACACGTATTATGGACAGTGTCTTTACATGGACAAATATTGTTGAACTGTACAACTGTTGCAGGTTGCGAGCACTGTAAAGTTCCATGTCAAATAGAAACGACAAACAGACAAGTCTGCTAAACGAAGAGGTTATTATCCAATTTCGACATTATAATCTTGTTTGAGAGGCATTTAGAAGTTGGAGCACTCTCACATCATAAGCATGTGTCTTTGAGTCACTATCAAATTGTTCTGGTTCCACATAGTCTCAACTGACGTAAAATATCTTTCGTAGAGAACAGGTACTTCTTTTAACACTGTGATTAGTGGTTACAAGTTCGGTCCACTAGAAAAAGGAACCGATATTATGTGATATTAATCAGGGGATATATTCGAAGTCAGCTTTTTAAGACACGTGCTGTATATCTGTTAACCCAGCATGAACAGTTTATAATACAACCTGAAGTATTATCACCTATCAGATAAAAGACACTGACCTGCAAGATGAAGTTCTTCCCGAGAAGAACGTGTGCCGCCATATGGTATATGTATGCACATGCTGTTCAATTGTCAGGTCTAAGTTTGATATGGCATGCATCAATTTCTTCACTGAAACACTTTAATGTCATTTACATTCATAGTAGCTCCACAACATTCACAGTGTTTTTCATTTTGCACTCCACCAATCTGCCTCCAACCTTCTTACAGTACAACCAGAAATTATTGAGAATTTAAGATTGTAATTTGTTTTTCACTCATTACTCACGTGTTAAATGTGAATATTAGCAAAACATAACTCCAGACTCAAAGACAGGTGAACAGTTAGTATTTTGTCAAGTCACCATGCATGGGCAGCAATGCAGGCTTCAATTAGGCGGGGCATACTACTGATCAAGGAAGTTAGAAACTCGTGGTCCATGCTGTCCCAATATCGGACCTCCTCTTCTTTCATGTCAGCAATATTTGTCAGATTTTTCTTATTGACACTTTCCTTCATAAGTCCCCAAACATTTTCTATTGGATTTAGGTCAGGTCTATAGCTTGGCCAATCTAATGTCATAGGCCTGTGAATGCTTTGAATGATGTTTGGGGTCGTTGTCCTGCTGGAAAATCCAAACATTTCCATAGAACACGTGAGCAGATGGAAGTAAATGTCCCTCGATAATATCTGTGTACCGCTCACTGTTCATATTCCCTTCAAATACACAGAGGGGCGTTGCCCCTAACACAGATATGCCACTCCACACGTTGAATTTCGGACTGTACTTTAGTCGCTGATACAAACTTAAAGGATTTTCAGTTTGTTTGGTCTAGAATTTCACTGTATTAGGAAACAGCCACACAGAACTTTCTTCTGAAAAATCACATTGTCACAGTTAAAATGTCTATGCTGTAAGCACCAGTTCAACCTTCGCTCCTTTTGTTCAGGTTTCATGATCGGTGATGGAATTCCTCGACTTTTCTGCCAACCTATTGCATGCAGCTCAGTTCTAATTGTCTCCTTACAGACAGCCTCTATCAGTCATATCCAGCCTTAAGTTTTCTAAACTCGTTTGTTTGTTTTTAGAAACAAGAATACCAAGCCGCCTCCTGTCACCAACAGTCAATTTTCTGGGCCTACCTGCGCCTCCCTGGTGCTCAATGCCATATCCATTTGCAATATTTTTCAAACACGATAAACAGTGGACAAAGGGATGCCTGTTCTACTTGAAATCACTTTAGCTGATCTGATGTCCTTGTTATAATACTCTAAAATCAACTTCCTCTTCTCTAAATCATACATACTGAGGATCACTGAAAATGTCGTCTGCTAGCAAATAAACAAAGGGGGATAACTCTTCACAAACTAATGAAAAAGGATAAACGGAGATGTCTCTTGAATGAAACCAAGCACTTGATAGCTGGTCAAGGTTGTTTATACTAGAAATCCAATTAAACTTATTCCTAAAATTCTCAATAATTTCTGGTCATAGTATATATTCAACACTACTGCTTATCCCAAAGATGAGGCATGTATGTGAAGACATTAACACCTGCGCGGTGCTAGTCTAATCTAAATCCCAGATACAAAGATGGCTCTGCCTTCTGAGTTTCTTGTACCTTTGTAAACAGACTTCAACATGATACAGCAGCAGTGGTATGCAAGATATTTCAGCAAACAGGTGACAAGGAATTAAGGTTTCGTTCAAATTCTACAATATATCGCAAGTAACGTTCTATCTTTTCCGTGGGATACAGTAATGTTGACACAGTTCGATTCGGTTCTAATTCAGATCTTCCAACGTTGATAACAGAAACAAGTTCCTCCAAATCCTGTTTAAAGATGACAATATTACACCGTCTTTACACCGTTGCCTGTTCGCCTGCTCCCAGTTTAAGGTATGAATTATTAACATATGTCAGGGACAGAGATAAATGAAGGTCTCACAACATAGATTTCAACAGTTTAATAAATACACAAGGAGCTGATGACAAACCATCGGAAACCAATGTGTGTTGGTAGATGACCCCCCTTAGAATAAACCTCTGTTATACCCTATCCTCAAAGGCAAAAGTATACGTTTTGCATAATAGGCATCTTCAAGATCAGCTAAGGTCCTGTAGCAGCCAGTAATATAACGAAAATGTGATAGATAATAGCCGGAGTAAAGCTTAAATGAAATCCATCTTAAAACAAGTGTTCTCAGTGGAATTGTAGAGCGTATTCGGAGTTCACAATACATTGCGGGAACTACTGTGGCTTGGCCACTAGAAAAACTGATCTGTTCTTGATGGGGAGGTGAAGTCATTACCAGAACACTGTTCCACATAGTTTCCTCTTCCTCTTCCTCTTACAGAATCTGCCTGCTCAACCTGCTTAGTTCCACGCTTGAGACGCTGTGTTTGACCAACCAATCTATTTTTGTAGCCCTAAACTGTTTGTAAAATATAACACGCGAAATATTTCTACCGGGGAAAATAGTGACTCGGTCTTCATGTGATAGCTTCATATTTCAAGACTTCTATATATTCCAGTTCTTTTTCGTGCCTTCGGAAGTTCTTGCCTTGTGTGTCCGATATTGCTCTGACTTTTGGGTGGGGTCATTTCCTGAACCACTACCTCAACGCCTACATTGTCTGCAGAAGTCCCTACCTCCACGAGGTTAGTGGTGTCAGTTCGAGGAGTTGTTTGGTGTATTTTGAAATTGACTGTCATGCCCCTTTATCTGTTCGCCAAACAAGAGATGTGTGAGAGGGTTTGTTGGGCCTATAGGCCGGCTCGGCAGTTACCCCAAAGGTATCTCGGGGCTGGACGATCAGTCGTAATTTGCTGTGACAGCTCCATATTGGCCATCCGAGTCAGATTCAGAGTTAATGTAAGGGCGGGCTTCATCATGTCACAGATCTCCAGTTGTGTGTAAAATGTGCTTCTTATCAAGTGTATTCGTCACGAGTGCATTGCAAATATTGCATTACCTATTTTAGATGGTTTGTCAGTTTTGTCAATAAGTTGTCAGAATCAATATGTTTAAAGGCCATGACAGGAAACCTCTTGGCTCAGACATGCAAGCTGCCATGTCGACTCTACTACATAGAAAAGGGGCGGCAACCATTTTTGTTTTCTTTGTCATTCAGTCACCCACTTTCACCTATCTCAGCCCGCTGAATGAAGAGCCAACTGTGAAAATCCCGCTAGCGCTTGGCCAGTGTACACGTCATTGTACCTGCTGGGCGTTTGTGGGTAGAGGAGTTGTCTCCTCACTGTCAGTGACCGACTGAAGTATGACGGCCGAGGGACACCCAGATCAGCGTCCCGGGGAGACCAGGGGTTAAAACAAGAGCGTTATATACGGAGTAGAGGACACCCCTTCTATTCCACTATGGTTCGTCTTTGGTCTTCAGGTAAGGCTATCTTAATTGCTGCACGTGCTCTTACATATGTATGTCAAGGTTGACTGTTGAGACACCACACTGGCCTGTGGCCTGAGGATATTCAATACACCTGTATAGTTCGTTTTGCTCATGATGTTTACGTTATTGTGCCCTTCGTAAACTGGAAATTGTGATTAATGGGTAATTCCTGTTCGAACGATATGATCAGACTTGCTTGGAATGTTGATTTTATGCCTGGCCTGCACACCTGAAACTTAGCATTACTAGCAATCATGATACTTATTTATCACAAAAGCTGGTAAGTAAAGGCGGCTAAGTTCGGACTACATAGGAGTTGGTGTGATACTCAACAACACCCCCCATCCCCTCCTCACCCTCTTCCATCTCAATCCACGTCGTCATATTAGCGATATATTCTCAAGCACGACGTTAAACCCAATTCACCTCACCTCCCTCCTCGCTCTGTGACACCGAACCCCATCAAAATCACAATCAATATTGACAAGGCAGCTTCACACCATAGTTACTGTACTCATGTGACCTGTTTTATTCACACCTAGCAGCGACCACACGTTTGGCTGACACTTCGGTTTTGAATTGTTTGTATACGCATTTGTAGACCGCCATTAGACGGTGGATTAAGTGTATATGATTTGTTAGTTTTTTTATCACATCTTTCTATAGAGCTTATAGACATCATTCCTTGAACACAGAATTCACTTCGCTGAGTAGATGCTTTATTCTACTATTTGCGTCGACAAACATAAGGGTCACCTTTCGCGAAACCACCGTGTATGGAACTAGTATGAATTTGGGTCACCTGGCGCAGGTTCTCCTTTCTCTGTCAATAATAAGATATAAAATACAGTTTAAAACGAAGGCACATTTGTAACATAACTACCATATTGTAAGCGAAGGCATTTACAATGCAAACGAAAAGAAATACTATCTGATAGGGTAATACGTACGATTTATTACTCGCCCGTGGACGATACATAGAGATTATTAACCGAGTGTGTTTCCGTATCATTAATATTATATATTAAGGAAAGGCTCGCATAATACATATTCTTTATTCCTAATATATGATATTAATGATACGGAAACACACGAGATTAATAAAATCTTTATCATATAATGTCATTCGTAAAATTACTCAAAAAAAGAAGCAAATCGTACGTGAATTTATATATAATGAGAATCGAGCATTCGCGTAAGAATATTTAGCGGTACACCAAGGTGAAGGTCGTTCATGACGGCGGCATATGGTTGTGACTAGTCGCTAATACAGTGCAAACAACTCATGCCTAAAATAAGATCTTTCTGTCAAAAAAGAACAACAAAATAAGGAAGGGTTTTCTTGGTAGTGTTTCTATTTTCATTGCGGGTAATCACCTCATCAATATCAGTTTCTGATACCTGAAGGATTCGATTCGTCGTTGTGATCGATATATCGAAATCCTTGGTTGGTACCTTTCTTAGACGATAGGGCACCCGTGAAGAGCCACCTCCTCGTGGTGAGTGCTGGGTAACGCTAAGCGCTTTTCACACACACACGCACGCACGCACGCACGCACGCACGCACGCACGCACGCACGCACGCACGCACGCACGCACGCACGCACGCACGCACGCACGCACGCACGCACGCACGCACGCACGCACGCACGCACGCACACGCACGCACGCACACGCACACACGCACACACACACACACACACGCCGTTGTGGACCAGGGGGTATATTTGGTCCACCAACCCGTTTGCCCGTGGGTTGCGCCCCTGTGTCGGTGGAGGACGGGAGTCTGGTGGTTGAGGGCACTGGGAGCCTGGAACCGTGTTCCTTTTGCCCAACACAATATTTCGCCCCTTACTTCATCTAGACGGGAGGTAGAACTGGCCCGGTTCTATCAATCGGCTGGTCACGCCAAGCCCTGTGTATAGTTATTTTATTTGCACATTTTTATTATTATTGGGCCTTGGACATTTTGATTTTCAACGTACAAATTATTTATTTGTGGCTCATGGTCCAATCTGGTGATGTTGACCTCTGAATAATGTATGTCTCGAATTTCTTGTCAAGGGCCGAACCAGTCTGGCATTAAATTGGTAGATAAATGCAGCTATTCATGTCGTATTCACTTGAGTATAACACCCCTGTATCCCTGGTGTCAGCATCTTGGAGATCCGGTGCTGTATGACATCGTCCTTGTTGACATTCCGTGGTGGATGGGGAGCAGGGGTGCTGAATCTTTTTCCTTTCATTATGGCGTTACAACAATCTGGGTCAATGAGAAATGAAAAGAAAAGGCGTTTGGATGAACTTGACCAAACTACAAGAAATACCTCTTCAAATGCTGAGTCATGGGCTAGATTTCTGGTTATTGAGAGCAAAGATAATTTACCTATAAAACTTAATCCTTTTGCGATCTCAAAAGCAATATCTGGAATTTGTGTGGGGAGTGGCGAACGTCACCCGTCTTCGTAGCGGCTCGCTTCTGGTCGAGTGTGCACGGAGACAGCAATCTCTAAATGTTTTGTCAACTACAATTTTTGCAAATATTGAGGTTGCTGTGTCTGTGCACAGAACTTTAAATTCTTGTCGCGGCATCGTTCGGGACAGGGCTCGTTGTCTTTCGGATATGTCTGAAGAGGACATTGCAACAGAGCTTAAGGAGCAGGCTGTTACAGCGGTGAAACGTTTCACCATCAAGACAGAGGGTGTCGTCATTAACACCAACACCTATCTCCTGACATTTGCTCTTGCAACCATTCCCCAATCAATTAAAGCAGGATACTTTAACATCGGAGTGGAAGTGTATGTCCCCAATCCACTCCGGTGTTAAACATGTCAACGTTTTGGCCATGGGTCGAAATCATGTCGTAACTCTGTGGTGTGTCACCGCTGTGGAGACCATCATGATGATACAGACTGTCCGAAAGAGTGTAAATGCGCGAATTGTGAAGGTCCTCATCCTTCTCCATCCAGATCCTGCCCTGTGTGTCAAAGGGAAGCGAAAATTATGAAACTGAAGTGTGAAAAAAGTATTTCATACTTAGATGCAAAAAACTGTACGCAACTCAGAACTCAACTCCTTTGAGTATAACATATTCCGCTGCAGTCACTCGTGCTATAGCAACATCATCTGTTGCTTGTCAGACTGACTTGACATGGATCAAGTCAGAAAGACCTGTTTCAGCCAGTCCACAAAAGTCCCCAGTTACTGAACCTATGTCACCAGCTACACAGACTACTTCTTCTTCTCAGACTGTTAGTCAACCTGAGATACAGTCAAAGTCAGTACATAAACAGCCTACCTCAGCCAGTTCATCAAAAACAAAAGGAAAAAAATTAAACAGAAAAGAGACACCTACCGTCCCTTTGCCTTCAGAGCTCCCTCTGGAGAAGCCCTTTGGACCTCTCGATATGGAGGTCACACTGTCCTCTCAGGATAAGCCTAACTCACTCACTCACTCACAGGACAAGTGAAGGAATAGCTCATCCTCCCATTCACGAGTGAGATCTCCAATTGAGCCACCACATTGAGTCAATTGTCTCATATAATTCAGTTGAATTGCAGAGGATTGAAGAATAACTAAATGAAATACAATTACTCATTCAATATCTTCAACCGTCAGCATTATGTCTTCAAGAGACATATCTTAAAAATACTGATACCTTTAACTTAAGACGGTTTAGTGATTATCATTCTTTCTCCCCTCCAGGCGATAAAGCTACTGGAGGCACCTCTATTTTGGTACACCAGAGTGTCACTCACAGCCCAGTCACTTTAAATACGGATCTTCAAACTGTTCCTGTTCGTCTGACTCTGCACATTGCTCTGACATTGTGCAGCTTGTATATACCTCCCTCATCAAATATTCAACAATCAGATCTTCAAAATCTGTACGATCAACTTCCGAAGCCATTTCTCATTATGGGCGATTTTAACGGACACAACCCTCTTTAGGGAAGTGCCCATACTAGTAACAAAGGTAAAATCCTTGAAGAATTCATTTCTGATAATAAATTATGTATTTTAAATGACGATTCAGCCACTTATTTACATCCAGCTACGGGAACATATATTTCTCTGGATCTGTCACTTGCCGATTCCAACTTATATAATGAATTCGAATGGATGGTTCATGATGACCTATGTGGTAGTGATCACTTCCCCACCATTCTCAAAACAATTAACCCTGGTGATGATCCTCCTTCATCAAGAAGGAACTTCGCCTGGGCTGATTGGTCATTATATGAAGCTTTGTGTGTCGACCACTTAAAACATGAAGTATTTGCGAACAGCGAAGATCCTATACAATTGTTTTTGATATCCTCAATGACATTGCTGATCAAACTATACCCAAGTCCTCTGCAATTCCACATATTCGTAAACCATGGTTTACTAATGACTGTAAACAGGCCAGAAAGAGTAGGAAGAAAGCTGAAAAGTATTTTCGGCGACATCCTACAGTTCATATTTTAGATAAAGTGAAAATGTTAAATGCTAAGGCTCGACGCACTTTTAAACAGACTAAGCATCCTCTTGGAGGAACTATGTTTCCAAAATTAATTCCTGTAGACCTATGTCAAAGGTGTGGAATATGATACAAAGAATTAAGGGCAAAGGTTCCAAATCTACTGTTCACCATCTGAAGGATGGTGATAATTTATTAACTGATAAGTCTGATATTGCCAGTAAGATTGGTGAAACTCTCGCCAAACATTCTTCTTCGTCAAATTACGTTCCGGAATTTCAACAATACCAGAAACAACAGGAGAAGAAGAGAATAAACTTTAACTCAGACAATGGCGAAGACTATAATAAATTAGTTTCATTACATGAGATACACACACTGCCCTTGAGCAAGCTCATGATACAGCAACGGGAGCGGGTAACATACACTATCAGCTCTTGGAGCTGGTAACATACACTATCAGCTCTTGAAGCAATTATCGGAATCTTGTTTGGAAACTCTTCTAAATAGTTTTGATACAATATGGACTTCAGGGAATTTCTCAACGTCGTGGCGTAATGCCGATTGTAGTCACTATTCGAAAGCCTGACCGGGATCATACTGATCTCTTTAACGAGTTGTGTCTGTAAAACCATGGAACGAATGGTAAACAATGGATTAACATGGTATCTTGGAACCAATAACCTTATAACCAATATTCAAAGTGGTTTCAGGAAAATTCGTAGTACCATTGATCAGTTGGTACGTTTAGAATCCTTTGTTAAAAATGCTACAGTAAATAAACAACATGCTGTATCGATATTCTTTGATCTCGAGAAAGCATACGATACCAGCTTGAAGCATGGCATTTTACATGATTTTGGTTTGAGGGGTCGTTTACCTCTTTTTATATCACAGTTTTCAGACAGGCAATTTCATGTCCGAGTGGGTTCAACCCTGTCTGACCATTACAATCAGGATCAGGGTGTCCCACAAGGCAGTATTTTGTCTGTCACTTTAGTTAGCATAAAGATCAACAGTTTATCCAAGGTTTTAAACGATTCAATTGATGGATCACTTTTTGTGGATGATTTTAATATTTCTTGTCGCGGTAAGAATATGCATACTATTGAACGGCAACTGCAGTTGTGTTTAAACAAGATAAATAAATGGTGTCTTGAAAACGGCTTTAAATTTTCTATATCCAAAACTAATTGTATTCATTTCTGCCGTAAATACAAACCGCATAAAGACCCTGAACTCTCTCTAAATGGCACACCCATCAAAGTTGTGAAGGATGCCAAGTTCTTGGGTATTATTTTTGACTCGCACTTTACATTTCTACCACATATTAAATCCCTTAAAACTAAATGCCTGAAGGCACTTGACCTGTTGAAAGTCGTTTTCAATTCTAAGTGGGGAGGGGATCAAGCTACCCTCCTACATCTATATCGATCCCTGGTACGTTCTAAACTTGATTATGGTTCCATCGTTTATGGTGGAGCCTGCAAAAGCAACCTAAAACTATTAGATTCTGTCCACCACCAAGGTCTAAGACTTTGTCTTGGGTCCTTTAGAACTTCTCCTGTTGACAGTCTCTACGTCGAGGCCGATGAACCATCTCTTACACAACGCCGTATAACATTATCCTTGCAGTATGTAACAAAACTATATTCTAATGAGTCAAATCCTGCATTTAACTGTGTTTTTAATCCTCTTTATGAGGATCTGTACAACAAAAAGCCTTCTCTTGTTCCGCCTCTTGGTTTGAGAATTAAACCATTCCTTTCTGCTGCCGGCATTGAGCTGCAAAATAAATCTCCTTCCCGTCTTCTTACTTCTCCTCCTTGGCAACTGGTGAGGCCTGAAGTTGACCTAACTCTGACAATGTTTAAGAAATCTGTAACTAACGAATTACAATATAAACAAGAATATAATCAATTACAAAAAAAATATAATACATACAAATCCTTATTTACAGATGGGTCCAAGGATGGTGGCACGGTGGCATGTGCCACTGTCATTGGATCCAGAACAATATCTTCTCGACTACCAAATAACAGCTCTATTTTCACAGTAGAAGCTAACGCCATATTAACAGCTCTTCAATATATTAATAAACACCGTAAATATAAACAATACATACTATTTTCCGATTCTCTTTCGTGTCTTCAGGCTGTTAAAAATCTTTCTTATAAACATCCACTTTTATTAGAAATTATTGAATTGTATAATGAGCTTGCTACTGGCCAATGTGACATCGTCTTTTGTTGGTTACCCAGCCACGTTGGCATTTCTGGCAACGCAATGGCCGATCTTGCTGCTAAGGCAGCACTCAACAAATCTGTGACACCACTTCTGATCACATACTCTGATTACAAAGCTGCTATTAAATCTTATTTCTGTGATCTGATGCAAAAGAAGTGGGACAGCCAAGTAGGTATCACCTACTGTCGGCTACACCTACTTGGGTTGTCAGTCCAGATTTGAAGATACACACAAGATACACTCATGAATACCTTTTAAAAGGTGAGGATCCTCCGTTTTGCATCCCTTGTGATGAAAGAATCACGGCCAAGCATGTCCTGCTTGACTGTGTTGAATATTCCATCACTGTCCTGTTTACTACCTTAAATATGCTATGCATCATTGAGCTTCTTTGTACAGAGAGTGTAAAATCACTCAAGCGTTGACACATGGGGGTTGCTGTGACCCCAGTACACGTGTCACATCAAGGTGTCCCGCCGAGACGGGGGACAAGATAAAAGGTGCTGTGGACATGGGGAGGCAAACACATACACATGTTAATGTCCCTCACACGGACTGCTGTATGTATTTGTGTGAGGTCAGTTTGTGGTTTAGGGATGGACACTTGTATGTGAATTCATGGGTGATGCAACCTGTAATGTGTCAGGTGCCCCTTTCAAAAAATATTTCGTATTTCATGATTGTTTATTGGATGGTTATGAAGTGATGTACTACTGTTTTACTACAACTGCAACTACATCTACAACATCTCCTACAACTACCGACCCCTGAAGATCCGGGTTAGAATTGATCTTCAGTAACCCATGCTTGTCATAAGAGGCGAATAACGGGATCGGGTGGTCAGGCTCGCTGACTTGGTTGACACATGTCATCGGTTCCCAATTGCGCAGATCGATGCTCATGCTGTTGATCACTGGATTGTCAGGTCCAGACTCGATTATTTACAGACCGCCGCCATATAGCTGGAATATTGCTGAGTGAGGCGTTAACTAAACTCACTCACTCACTCACTACAACTACTGATGTTCATCGTAACATCTATCGGTGCTAATGACACCGCCCCAAATGGTACTACCAAGAAGTACAACTGATACTACTCCTACTAATACAATGACTACTAGTACTATTGCTACTGTTTTACTACTACTGCTACTACTACTACTACTATAACCACTACTACTAACGCTACTGCTCCTACATCTAATTCCTCTAACACCAACACCTTCAACACCACCTCCACCACAACTACCACTACTACTACCTCCACCACTACTACCACAACCACTACTGCTACCACTACCATCACCACCATCGCCACCATCACCACTACCACATTTTACAACGTTGTGGGAAGGTTGTATATTGGTAACGTCATGACACAACGTTGTCAAAATGTTAGTAGTACGTCATTTTATAACGTTATGTCACAACGCAATAAACAACGTTGCAAATTTACGTTGAGGAAACGTTATCCTTTGGGCTCCTCACAACGTTATAACTTGTCAAGATAGAGTTGTCTGTAAAACTTTCCACTTTGAGATTCTTTCTTCACTCTTCAGCTACAACTTCAGAAAACACACGACCAAAACGACATGCAAATTGACGAATACACATTGAAGTGAATATCTGCTTTGTTTCGTATGTCCCGTTCACTACTGGGGAAACTATTCATCTATTAACGTTAACTAGAGCGTTAAGACAAAGTAAAATACGTTAGTATCAAATAACCTTTGATAACCTTGTGGCAACGTAAAAATGACGTATCACAACTATATGCCACAACGGTGTGGCAACATAAATGGGACGCCACAGAATAACGTTGTATCAACGAAAGCATAACGTTGGGACAACGTTGGGACAGCGTGAAATTGTTAGCTGCGACTACAACTACCAACACAACTATTACTGCCGCTACTACCACTACCACTACTGGCTGAATAACAGGTACTCATAAAGACCCATGACAATGCTGATGTCATATATTTGTGACAGTCTATTTGTATCTACTGTAATATAACGGTTCAGCGCGATTTGAAAATATGTGTAAAACACAGGCCGATCAAACAAGAACTTGCAAGTGTATCCTAATATACAGTGTTTGCTTATGTGTGACAGAGAGCATCTGAAGGAGCGCGGCGACATCTCCTTGTGTACCAGGCGTAGACTACCAGCATTCATACTTACCCCACTATAACGCCTCGCATATAGACAAGCTACGTACATGTACTGTCCTAGATAGACCCTCAACGTGTCTTCATGACAGGGATCACATGTTTTTTACTTTCTATCCACGCTTCGAAGGAATGCCTATAAACCTTTGAACAACGTATTACTCGTGATTTTATGTAACTGTACGGGGCAATTTATCGGAGATATAGTAAACAATATAAAACCTCTGACACCTTACAAGCATCAGTCACGGTCGGTAGGCGAGTAGCTGTATAGCGAGTTGTTCCTGAAGGTCAAAATATTGTTCGGAAAAGCTAGCCGGATTAAATATCTAAACTAACTTCTGATATAGATAGGTTGGACGTTAGACTGATTTTTGTATAACTCTGAACTTATCGTTTGCATAATAAAATATTTCCCAGGTATATTTCGGGATGTACTGCACTCTGTCGGTATGGTAATTATTACAATGAATGTGTATGTGAGTTTTCACAGTACAAGAGGTATTCAGGTGTGTCAGTAAGTATACATAAAGAAGTTGATTGAGCACCCCTCTATTTTAGCAATGATAGATTTTCAACACGTACATAAAACTCCTCGTGGTGACCACGATGGAAAAACATGAGTTTTTCTGACCCGTATGATCTTTTGACTAAAAACACACACAAACGGACTGGAATCCATGTTGATTTTATGATAATTGCTCATTTTAGAAAAATTCACTGATTTTCATACAAAACCATGTCTGTACAAGTAAGGCCCTGGAATGTTTAATGTTGAAGTTACTGGCGATTCTGAACATTCAAAATGTCATTTTGCGTGTCTTACACGATTCAAGGTCAATACTTAGTGCAAAGATCGGAGCTCATTCAATCGTGAGATATATCAGGGGATACTTAGCTAATATAAGTTCTTTGCGTATATATAAAAAAAGACTAACTGTTTTATGGTCCTAAGTGTTTTATGGTCCTAAACCATTAACCTTTCCACCAGTGAGATTTGTTTCTGGTTTCAGCAAACTGTGATGTGTATAACCGGCACACTGTCCATCCCGTTCCTCATCACCCGCCAGATCTGTGCCTCCCACCTGACTGATGTCACAGCCAGACTCCTCAGCGTGTCCTTCTTCATGTGCGGCGTAGCCACTCTCTTGCAGGACACCATCGGTATAAGGTGGCTAAACCATACCTTTAATACTTACATGACTTACCCCGTCTTCTCAAGGTTAGAACAGGTCCACCTCTGCTGGTCTGGTGGCTAAACCATACCTTTAATACTTACATGACTTACCCCGTCTTCTCAAGGTTAGAACAGGTCCACCTCTGCTAGTCTGGTGGCTAAACCATACCTTTCATACTGACATGTCTTATCCTCTCTTCTCAAGTTAGAACTGGTCACAGAAGGCATAGTAGATTGGGTTGCCAGTCTTGGGGATATAATTCCGTGTCGCCGGAACCCTACGGCGTGAGTCCTTTTCACATCCATCACTGGATTATCTGGTCCAGACTAGACTATCCTCTGACCGCCATCACTGAGATGGAATATTGCAGAGTGCCAAACATAACAAACAGTGACTTGTGCTTTTAGCCGAATTCCATAAATATCACATGAAATGGCAAAGACTGGCGTTACCTATTATATACGATACCACTGGTCTTCGTCGAGACTAGCATAGGGCTCAATGAAGACTAACCTACAGCTGAAACAACAGTTAAATTCGTCTTACAGTCACCCTATAAATATTCATCTCGTGTGAACCATTTGTCTCACCTGATTTATCATGAGGGTTTAACTACCGATAGGGACATTTATTCGTTCACATGCGACGACATGAATACTTTGACATATCCGTCAGTATGTCTTGTCTCAGGATATATGCTTTATGATGTCTTGTCCTTCAAATAAGTTTCAAAGAATTACGCCAAGGTCAGAGGATGTGTGGACATGTTTGTTGAAGTCGGGCCGCTCGATGTAAAATGAGGAGTATGGTTTTCATACAAGAAGTCCGGTTTACACTTTGACTGTTGAGTCGTACATACGCTTTGACCTATATCGTGGTGATAAAGAATGAAACACTCAAATGATGCAGGGCGGAGACGTATAGCAGCAGGGAAATTTACGAACGCGGACGTGGAGCAGACAACGCTAGAATCAGCAGAGTGAATCTGGGATTTGAACACACTTTGATAGGTTTCGTGGGGCCTTGGGAAAACTGCTCCTGCGGCGTCCGGTACGACTGATTAACGAGTTTTGACACATTGATAGAAAGTGTCGTGTGACTTTTCCACAATCATCTTGGTACAGCTTATTTATGCCATCTTGTGGTAGACTGCCTATAGTAATGTTATCCAGTGGCTTTTGTGCTTGGTTACATCCTTCGCTGCTTGGTTTGTCTTATCATCTGCTGAGTGCTTGTCTCTGTTAACGTCATCTGCCGAGTGCTTGTCTCTGTTTACGTCATCTGCTGAGTGTTGGTCTGTTAACGTCATCCACTGAATACATGTTTGTGTTAACGTCATCCGCTAAGTGCTTGTCTCTGGTAACGTCATCTGCTGAGTGTTGGTCTGTTAACGTCATCAACTGAATACATGTTTGTGTTAACGTCATCCGCTAAGTGCTTGTCTCTGTTAACGTCATCTGCTGTGTGGTTTGCTTTTCACGTCATCTACTGGTTGATTCTATTCGATCGCGCTTTTCGGTGTACTGTATAGTGCAAACACACCGACACTGTGAGTCGTATACAACTGATAGTGATACTAACAGCGTCCAGTGATTGTAGCTGTGAACAATATTGTACCTTCTAGACTGCCAATCATCCAGGGAGGATCGCATACATTTATTCCGCCGATCGTCGCCATGATGTCGCTGAAGAAATGGGAATGTCCCCCAGATGGTGCGTTAAGCGAAATGAATATTTCTCCATTCATAATGTGTCTGGAATATGACTGATCCATATTTAAAATCTAGCCAAAAATTTCAGTTATGGAGTAGGTACATGTACAATTACATAATTACAAATGTATAAATTTGTTGACAAATTTAATATGAATGTTTGTCATTTGCACTGACATTCCCACGAAAACGTTTTAAAAAAAATCCTTGCTGACACAAATGCCCCTGTAATGTCACATGTGGGAATTTAATGAAACGTATGATTTCATTGCTAAGATGACCTACACTTCAAATGCATCGATTACTTAAACAAACTATAATGTAAGTGCATAAACATAAACATCAAAACATTTGTCATGCTTGCATGAAAGGATATATTGCATGTGTCATGTAAGATTTAAGCTTCAGATACGATCCTCGGTTACTTACTCTTCTAGAACTTGAAACATCACCATCCTTCAGTTAATTCTTGACGTACATGTGTTCAGTTACTATTTGCAGACATTGCTGCTGGAAACGAAACGATGGAAGCAGCATGGATGCCACGAATACGAGAGGTTGGTGGTAGAAACTATTGATTTAAACTGTACCTTTAACAGTCAGTTGCGTTTAAGGCAAACGTCTGAAAGATATAGTAATCCTTGTCTACCAAATTTCAGATTCAAGGAAACCTGATGCTAGCCTCTCTGACTCAAGTCGTCCTAGGGTGTACAGGGCTTATCGGTTTCCTTCTCAGATTCATCGGACCCCTCACCATCGCACCTACTATCTCCCTAATCGGTCTGTCGTTAACCGTTGTGGTCAACGACTTCAGCAAGTCTCACTGGGGTGTGGCGTTTCTGTGAGTACAGTCCCTGTCTTAGTCTGTCTCACACTCCCTGTCTTAGTCTGTCTCACAGTCACTGTTTTAGTCTGTCTGTCTTAGTCTGTCTCACAGTCACTGTTTTAGTCTGTCTGTCTTAGTTAGTCTCACAGTCACTGTTTTAGTCTGTCTGTCTTAGTCTGTCTCACAGTCACTGTTTTAGTCTGTCTCACAGTCCCTGTCTTAGTCTGTCTCACAGTCCCTGTGATAGTTTGTCTGTCTTAGTCTGTCTCACAGTCCCTGTCTTAGTCTGTCTCACAGTCCCTGTGATAGTTTGTCTGTCTTAGTTTGTCTCACAGTCCCTGTCTTAGTCTGTCTGTCTTAGTCTGTCTCACTGTGGCCTTTCTGCAAGATCAAAATGAACATGCCGTCTAGATGTTATCAGGTACAGGTTCTGAATTCTACACCTCGCTGGGGCTCCTATTCAATTTAGAAGGAGTTGTTTGTGTTTATCATAAGTATATATATTCAGACACTTAGCTTTTGTCTGTGCCCGTGCGGGTACAGAAACAGGTTGGGAATGTAGAGCATTTCTGTACACATAGTAGAAATACTTGTCAAACATGTAACTGCTTTACACTGAGGGGAATCTGGAAGCATTTATGAAGATTCAACTTGCTTTATAGGCCGTGAGGATTGTCAGTCGATATAACATTTCATATGCTTTATTTTTATTTGCTCAGACAGACAAACATCCCTTCTGATGACTTTGTATTTTGTATACAATAAGCAAATAACAGTGTGGTTCTGTATGTGTACTGATAGGATAACGTTTATATACTAAATTGTGTAGTATAGATATATTTCCTCATGGTGTACAATATTGATACAGAATACATAAAAACGACCAGTTCCAACGTTCATGCAGAGTAAACCTCACAGTATGAAAATTGATACTCCAATGTTCAATCTATTCATTGTTCAGATATATACGCCCGCTTCGATGACAGACTATTCATATCTGCAACCGTAGAAAATAATTGTAGCTTTAAGGTAAATGGGTAATATTACGCACAATTGCTTGCAGCTGTAGGGGTGGTATAGATCCAGCTAGGGTGGATGCAGAAAGCAAATGTACTGTAAGTAACCGTGGTCCCTAGTATGGTGACCTACCTTCAGTTGTTGGCAATCTCCAGGGTGTATTTATACTTCCTTGTCATGTATAGTTGAAATATGTTAGATTAATTTACTAGCTTTATCACTCACTCACTCACCCACCCACCCACCCACCAACGCACTCACTCACTCACCAATGTTCCAGGTCCATGAGTCTGATTCTGATGTTTTCGCTGTTCCTGGGTCGCTTCAAGCCGCCCGTGCCTTCCTTCACACGGGCTAAAGGTTGCCATATCTCAAGATATCCCATCTTTCAACTAGCTCCGGTAAAACACTACATTTCGTACTTAGTAATAATTTGTCAATATATAAACGTGGCCATAGTGTAATCACACGTAATTCTGAACAAATAAATAATGTCCCCACACAGCTACAAATAGAATCACTGAGGCCTTCAGTTGAAGCAATGAGTAAATTGTGGCGTGTGTTTTTATGTTATTATTTAACCTGCGTGTAGGTATTGCTGGCTATCGGCCTGTCCTGGCTATTCTGTCACGTGCTCACCATCACTGATGTCTTTCCCAACAACGCCACGTCGCCAGGGTATCTTGCCCGCACGGATGCCGCTTCTAGACTGGAGGCCATCGACAATGCACCCTGGTTTTACTTCCCATATCCATGTAAGTATCACTATGGAGCAGGCCCTGGATAGCTAGAGTCATTGTGGGGACTTGAGTCATTGTATTGAACCATATGTATGAATTTCTTACAGTTTCCTGATGAAAGCATGTGACATTTGGATTTAAACTGTTTAAGGATAATATTTTGTATACGTAGTGAGTTGAGCTGTTGGTCTCATTTTTGACACGTGACAGCAATAGGAAATAAAAATAAATCTGAATAATTCTCATAAAATATTATCAACGGTTTTACTTGAATAAAAAAGTAAACATGACAATGCAGGCACATAAAAGAAGCATGGTCGTTTTTTGAACGTGTGTTCGTCATCAATTCCAGTCCAATTCGGAATGCCGACCTTCAGTGCTGCAGGATACGTTGGCCTACTTGCTGCAACCATCAGTTCAGTGATTGAATCTATTGGAGATTATTTTGCTGCGGCAAGAGTATCGGACGCTCCACCTCCCCCACCCCACGCTATAAACAGGGGAATAGCAATAGAGGGATTTGGGAGTATAATCTCTGGACTTGTGGGGGCGGGACACGCAACAACGTCATACAGCGGCAACGTTGGCGCCATTGCTGTGACAAAGGTGACTTTATTTTGTTCCAGATCCAGGAGTTTGTTGTTCATGTACTATGTTTACTTTCATGTTTTGTTATACATCTTCAGAACATGAACCACCGCAGGTTTTAAATCAAGCAAACAATGGGCTGTTTTGACATCCTTAGGGCTTTTACGATTTCAGTATCCCAACAAAATCATACGAATTTGTTACATATGTACATGGACGGAAGTGTTTTCGTGTCTCAGTGTAATAGATAATATCATTATGTTATCAATTAGCAAACAGCAGTACAAAGTACATGTTTATATTGGGACCAAAGAGTGAAACTGTTTAACCTTCAATGGGCGTAAATGTGTAAATCCACAGTGCATATTCCGTTCTTGTTGTTCTTGATACAAGATACAAAACAAATACAATGTCACTGAAGGAGTTCTCGAGTCCCAGTTGACTCCAGTATCTATATAAGCACATAAGAGTGAGTGAGTGAGTTTGGTTTTACTCCGCTTTTTAGCAATATTCCAGCAATATCAGAAATGGACTTCATACATTGTACCCATGTGGGGAATCGAACCCGGGCCTTCGGCGTGACGAGCGAACGCTTTAACCAGAAGGCTACCCCACCGTCCAAAGCACATAAGAAGACTGCTGCCGTGAAGCCTCCAGATACTTAATGTACATTGATGGAAAAGTGTTGTTTTATTAACACCCACTAACAATTACATCTGGAGAAATGTGTAAAAACCTTGACACACCATTCGATTTAACATGATTAAATCCAATTCTCACTATACAGTTCGATTTACAACCTCACCCAATGTTTTCTTCTAAACATATTTCAGTACAAGTTTAAGGATATATGCGAGTTATGATTGTATTTCAGGTTGCCAGTCGACGAGTGTTCCAAACTGCCGGCGTTTTGTTGGTCCTGTGTGGCCTTGTTGGCAAATTTGGAGCTGTAATAACTTTAATACCGGAACCTATCATCGGGGGTCTAAATGCTGTACTTCTCGGTATGGTAGCAGCTGTTGGAATCTCCACCCTCCAGTACACTGACCTCTCGTCGTCCCGAAATCTCACGATACTTGGTCTTTCATTAATGCTGGGGCTAGGCATCCCTCAGTGGGTATACGCAAATCCAGACGCAATAGATACAGGTATGAAGTAAACAGACTAGCTGTAAATAATAAAGCCTGCATTAGCTGTGGGAATGTCATTTTAAAACATTGGACATAAACGTGACTGGAGGGATCATTTCCTGTTTGTACCCACCAAAATCACCAGAAAGCACAGCTTGGCACGAATTAAACTCCGTCTTCAATACGATATCAGTTACAGTCTGGATACTAGCCTCCTTCAATTTTAGATTTATGATACTCCATATAAACTCCAAGGTATATTTGTCTACATATACATTAAACTAGAAACTTGTTTTAAGGCTATACGGAACTGGATCAAGTCATCAACGTTCTTCTCGGCACAGCCATGTTTGTTGGTGGATTCATTGGATGTGTGCTTGACAACATTGTACCAGGTCAGTCGGGTAGAATCAACTCAAGTTTTGATTGAAACTCACGAAGCATTGTTGCGTCCCTTTGGTGGGTCACGATGCGCTCATCTGCCGATTTCTGTGCGCGAAACATTTCACCAAAGTGGTAAACTTTCAAAGCCTAGTAACTCTGATGCCTCTTCCCACACCGAGTCGGCTACGCCGTGTGCTACAACTACATTCATGCTGGTAGATGTGACCTTCATACAGTCATAATACACTGACTGACATTTCTTTTGGTACGGAAACATATATACAGTGAATGTGGTATGGGCCTCACTCTATGTTTGAATCGATTGTTTTCCGGCAAATGCTGAGTGTGGGACTGCAGGTCACGCTTATCCTTTTCCATCACTGATTTCTAGAGGACTAATCATCCATTTCTTAAAGCTATTTTGCCCTTTAGAACCAACTGAATCTCTTTCTGGTTTCTAGTCAAGACCTTTGCGCAGTCGTATTATATTCCTTGTGTTGTCAAGTCAATCTTTCCTTCCAGGAACCCCGGAAGAGCGAGGGCTGACTAAATGGCGACAGAAGCTTGTTGGAACAAGCGACGGACCGTCACATGTGGATGAGATGAAAATGTACGACTTTCCGTTCATCATGAAGTATCTGAGACGTATAGCCTGCTGTGCATACATACCATTCATGCCGACGTTTAGCAAGAACATTTGCACCGCGAAAAACAATGACGATGAGCATGAAAATGTTGAAAAACAGCCAAACAATGAACCTGCCGAGATTAAGGTTGCTGAACAGCGCCTTTGAATATTTGGGTACATATTGAAGGTTCGTTTATTGTTTGGACCTGGCTTTGCGGATGTACATGTACTCATTTTAACAAACCTTATATCTATAGATATATATTTTTCTATCAGTTATACATCACTGTGAAACATAATACCGTATTCATATCGATGTGTCATTTCGTCCATGCAAATTATACTTACCGGGTAACGTTTCGTATCAATATATTCTATTCTGAAAGTCATGGTCAATGTGCACTGACACACATGTGTTGTTATGTCTTATTAGATATCCGTTGGTCCTGTTCTGAATCCCTCTGAAACCTGAGCGCAGATGGTACAATGTCCGCCCATCATAAGCACCTCAATGCTATCTACCAAATGTTATGACCAGAATGCTTCGTATATGTAACTAAAGCTACGAAAACTGTTGACCCTACAGTTATCATTAATTTCCGTATTTCATATAATTTGCACAGCAAGTGTGCCCTATACTCCAAATGGAATTTGTTTCGACGGGTAATCAATACTGGTTTTCCTGTTGTTTTGACGTTTTACGTTTACATTTGTATTATATTTAGGTTTATACAGTCACAAAATAAAACTTTAAGCCAGGTGCTGAGGATTCTGTTATTTGTCGCACATATAATTTGTCACACTCCTTAAAACTCCATAGAAGGTGGCTGTAGGTACAGACAGATCCAGGCGAAACTAGCAATCTAAGCGTCAAAACCCTTTCCACATCCTAACGGAATCTATACGAAAGGCACGGCCGACTGTAGCATTCCGACTGTATTATGAGCACGATCACTATTAAATAGTGAGTGAGTGAGTTAATATTTAACGTCACATCGGCAATATTAAATAGTAATCTTTCCAGGTGTTCTCGAAACTTTGAACGTGTCCTGCCGCATACAGCACCCTTCATAAACAATATTTATTGCAAATTCTGGAAATAAGGAATTCAAATGTACCTCAAAAGTTGTGAAATGTAAACACCGAAGGCCGGAGCTATTTGGATATTGCTCGACAGATAGAGAAAGCTGACAATTGAAAAATTGAAGTAATTTCCCTTATTATACAGCCTTATGGTGAATATTTTGTAACTCTAAATCTTTATGTATAGTTTTAGATATGAAACGCATGGAGTTGTCTCACTGATCTCCTTTATTGCAGGAATAGGATTGGTGCAAATGTAAAACCTGTTGAACGTCTCGCCCTGTAGACACGTTTAACATTTAAACAAGTTAACTGTACACAGAATACTAATAGCAGATTATCTGTATCTAATGTTGAAGATCATATCGTGATACAAATATACAAGCCCCACTATTTGCTTAACAAGTGAACAGATTTTAGGATAGAAAGCTCAATATCAGTAGATGTTTTGCCATTTCCACATAATTCTGCATCAAAGCGGTATCTTTATAATACGAAAAAGTACATATTAATACAATGATTCCGATAATTACTTGAAGCGATGTGTAACATCCTAATAATGGTATTACGGTTAACGGGTGTTACTAGAGCAGATAATACTAGAATCATAAATATGCCTGTGAATATAACTGAATACACTACATCGCTGAATCCGGAGTCGAGAGTGGATACTTTGGCAGAGACGTCTACCGTAGTCTGGCATAAAGCCATTTATAACCAACTGGGTGCCGTTCCACTAACCGATCTTATCTAAGATCAATCTTAGCAAGTTACGCCAATTTTACAATCGCCTTAGCTAAAAGTTACACCCGTTCCACTAACCGATCTTAGGCCGATCGTAGCCGGTCCCGATCTTACGATCCGATCCAAGCTTAGATCGAGACTCTTTCGTGCGAGAGATAGAGGAATGCGAGGCACGCGTTATCTCCCTTTGCATAGTCTAGCAAATGATAGAAAGTAGTTTACGAACCAACTGAGTGAGTGAGTGAGTTTAGATTTACGCCGCACTCAGCAATAGTCCAGCTATATGGCGGCGGTCTGTAAATAATCTAGCTAAGATGCATAGCGTTCACTAACATGAGCGTTCATGTTAGTGAACGCTATGTATCTTAGCTATAAATAATCGAGTCTGGACCAAACAATCCAGTGATCAACAGCATGCGCATCGATCTGCGCAGTTGGGAACCGATGACATGTGTCAACCAAGTCAGCGAGCCTGACCACCCGATCCCGATAGTGGCCTCTTACGACAGGCATGGGTTATTGAAGTTCAATATTCTAACACGGTCCTTCATGGGTATTTTTCCAACCAAGTGTAAACGTAGAGCAAAATATTAGGGTACTGAGCACCTTGGTTTCAGGTGCAAGTGCGTGAGAACGCTGGGTATCAAGCATAATATAATAATAATAATTGCATATTTATAGTGCGCCTATTCCACATCAGTGGGCATGCTCAAAGCGCTGTGTACAGATCTATAATTTACACGAGAATATTTACAGCCGAGATTATAAGTATCATACTGAGAACAGGTTTTAAGTCTGTCAATTGTGTCAGAGCTTTTAATATGTGCCTGAACCTTGTCAATCAGAATAAACAAGGCGTGACGAGGCTATAACGTATGTAGAATCTGTCAGTGGTCTTGAATAACACGCGGCCTGCCTTCAGAATCCCCCACCAATAATGCGCAGTGAAATCAAGCATATTTGTATCTTTTTGCTTCAGAACATTGTTCACTTCACGGCTGTCCCTATTCTTAACCATGACGTTGCAATATTGTTGTACAAATGTGTTACACCGACTCGCTCGGTTGTGTTCCCATGACGACAGTGGTCAGACTGGCCTGACATTTGTAAGGCTTGTTCAGCGCAGTGTTTGTTTACATCACAGAAATATACAAATTCATTTCATGGGGGACTTTAGGGGACGCTCACGGTGAAATGCTCGCTCTTATTTTTCACATAGAATAGGAAAGCCACCATTTTGGTTTCTCTACGATTGATTTTAGCTATCCTAAGTTGGTCATGAGCAACTTAGACTTTGAATCTTAACTTTACGATTGACTTAGGTAAGATTGGTTAGTGGAACGGTATGCCGATCGTAACGTCACACTAAGATTGGGATTTTAGGGGTTTACGATTGGCATAGGGCTAAGATCGGTTAGTGGAACGGCACCCTGGTCGATACAGATTCTTGTACCGTTCTTGTAAGCATACAAGAATCTGTATCGAAACGTCGCACTCACGAATAAAAAGAAGTTGTTATCCATAAAGTTTGTTCTATATTGTACTTCCCAACTTCTAAAATGCCACTCAAAGAAGAACTAAATTAGAGCCCTTTTTTAATTCGTTATAACCGTATGTTACTTTCAATTTTTTAGTTGTGATAGATTTAGTGAAACTATATATATGAACTTGATTTTTTATCGAATACCATCCCGTGAAATATTCCACATTGGCACTGTATCGGGTACAAACCAGTTGTGCTTGTTAACTCTTTTAACATTTACATTCTGTCAATGTGATGAAAATGGCAAAGCCATTATGTAAACTGTGCCTCAAACACAGAACATCTTATCTCTCTTAGACAGGCGTAATTAGATACGATGTGTCAACAATAGACAATCGTAATTAAGCACATATCCTGTGTGCCGACTGGCAAAGTCTCAAATGTCCCCTGTAACTAGGGGGAGGTAATCTTGATACAGGCTTTCCTTCCTTCAAACAATGCCCATGTTTGCTCTATAACACCTTAAGGAGGTTGGATACAAAATATCAAAATGTCAAGAAATTGCTAAATTTGGTTTTATTTTGTAGAAAAGTGTGTCCAAAATCTAATTATGTAATAAAAATAGCAAGTCGCCACGGCATTTGTTTGACAAGTGGCACCCCCTTGTGGCATCGTCTGTAAAAAGTAATATGTCAATTAAAGTTCTTTTTAAAGTAAATTGTTTACTTTTATTATGCAATATGTATAGTGTTTATAAAGATATTTATTTTTACGACATAAAGCAGGAAAATCAATTTTCAAGGCAGTATGTAAGATTTGACACATTAATTAACTTCTACAAAAATAGGATATTCAAAGAAAATATTGATTCATCAATGAAAAAGAAGATTTTTTTAATCACAAGATATTTTATAAAATGAATTTGTATTTAGTAAATTCACACTAGATTAATATTAAAAAATATAAAAGTATGTTTCCAGAGGGTATTGACATTATCTGCAATTAAAACCGCATACCCAAATTAAATTTGATAAGGGGAGATAACTCTTGCCCAGGTTTATCTCAGGATAAATGACGTTTATTCAGGGGAGATAAGCGATGGCGGAAGTATGATTAGAAGCAAGATAAAGGGAAATAACTGCGTAACATAATACTTGCTCCTACTGTCACATCCCGTCGCATACGGTATGCGCACAAACAAAGGTACCAAACCTCTTTAACAGTGCATTGGTCCAGAAGATACACCAGGACAAGAATTCATAGTATATTTGATTAAACCGTTCGTTTTTAAATGACGTATAAGAAGCGTGTAGGTCTGAGACTCAGCTGACATTACCACTAGTCTGACATTACATTTTCAACCATTTGCATTTTATGATGTCTTAAAGATTTTACCTCTGCGTGTACAGCACGTACTGTCCTTGTCTGAACAGAAAATGGTCCTCGACATAAAACAGAGCTTCCGACTCCAAGAGAGAACAAATAGCTTGAGAAGTGGGATGCATGGACCGACTGTTCTGAACCAAATGCATACTTGCAAAGTCCACTCTTTAAAAGTCACAGAAAACGATGTATTCAGATCCGTTTGTCCAATTTTTAACGGATTTGTATTTTTCATATAAACCCAGTTTGACGTATGATTGGTCAGTTTTGTGGAGAGGGTAATGAGTAATGAAAGTGTGAGTCTTAAGCCAAATGCGTGAGAGTTGGCAGGTATGCATGAAGTATGATTCTCAACTTGTGATGTACATTTATTGATAAATCCCTTTTGGACCACAGCAGTATAGTTTGGCATGGCACAGGAGGTCGCTAATGCGTAATTTTGGGCAGATAAAGTTTTCAAAACTCCTTACCCTATCACACATCAGATTTGGATTCTAAACAACGCATAAAGACATTTGGGTTAAGTCGGGACTGGCTAAGTTCAATAGTTTCAGAGTCGAACAAGTATCTTGACAGGAACATTCGAAATTGAAGCGCGTCTCGATTTGTGAACCCGCCGACATTCACATACAATGGCAGCTTCTTTGACCGAATATGACTTTTGCTATATTGAGCCGGAGGTTATATGTCGACGATAGCAAACGTAACACCATGCTTCTCAAGCTATACACCTACCGGTATCCAAAATGTGATGCATACTAGTTTACCAGACATGTTGTACAATAGGTGATACCGTGTTTGTGAGACCCTGAAACATCTACGTTCAGAGGTGAGTATCCGAACACAGTACAACGGCAAATATTAATAAGAAGATTAAACCCAGCAATGGACTGTGTTTGGCAAATTAAACGTTTCACTCATTGTAGCCATGTGGCAGAACAAAATGAACAAAAAACGTTTTGACTGAAAATGTCAATGGCGACCGTGGATATTGTACGGTCTGGAACTAGGACAAATGACTAGATTCTACACCACTAAACCAGAATCAGTTGTTCTGATATCGTAAAGGATAGAGTGGAGATTGAGATATCTGAGAGCTGTGCGTGAATGATATTGTGTGAGATTAAAATGTTCAAAAAGATCCACCTAGTGATAAAAAGACCTTGTTTGTCAGAAATGGTAGGTTCAGGTTTATACCTGGTACTTCTATGGTTGTTTCAGAAGCTTGGTCAGCGTGTTTGTTTCCAACCTCTCCAGCGTGTGCATGGATGTAAACTACCTCTATTGTTTGCCCATGGGTTTTAACAGAGGAGCGAACCTATAGTTTGTTTGGATCAAAATGATAACGATGAATCACCATCCCCAAATCGGTCATGATCAAACATTCTTTGTATGAGAATGTTATCAAAATGTAATTAAAACATTAGACCAACTTTGGAAAAAAGTTTCATAACGTTTGTCTCCAAAATATAAACAAACTATCATCATTTTGTTTTGATTTTCCGTGTGAAAGACTAATTCTCAGACAAATCAAGAAAACATAGAGATCGGCGACAAACGCCGGAATTCTCCGAACGATGTCGGAAACAGGACAATTAGAAAGAGGATAGAACCATGCGTTCACCAGAACGTATCAGAGGTGATTTTACGATTATTATTATTATTATTATTATAGTATATTTATATAGCGCACATATCCACGCAACTAGCACATGCTCAATGCGCTGGTGTGTTCCCTTTATCAACGGATGTCTTTTTTCTGGCATTCTTTTTAACCAACTCTCCGTCGGGAGTATTCATCTCATGTGTCGACCATTTGGTCACCTACCATCAGATGTGTGAATTCTTTTTTAAGTGTACAGGGTTGTGTACTGCACACTACGGGTTATGACAACACTGAAAGAGCCTGCAAGTTGGGGTCGATCCAGGCACCTTTCGCTTGCCCCGATCTAGAGACACAGTTGATGTATCAAGTAACAGGGAAGAAAGGATAATCACAGAGACTCATTGACTATGCATGTACATCTCTTCGTCCCTCCTGTGGAGGTCGTTGTACAGAGCTGCGCCATGATGTGGATCAGACATGTAGACAAAGCGATCTTACTTTGTACCGAACAGCAAACAAACACATAGAGGGAGGACTGTAGACAACCTAGAGTCACCCAAGTGCAGCGGTGTCAATCGCCGCGCTCTCTGGTGCAATATCCATAAAGTATGCCTGTATTGTACTTCCAAACTTCCACTCAAAGAGGTTAGCTCTCATCAAAGATAATAGTCCTCAGGAGAGTGTGTATTGTAAGGCCTAGAGCTCCCCTTCTCCGTTCAATATTTTTACCCATGGCTGTCTTTGAATTCAGGTGTGAGCAGTCCTTATAGATGTTCATTTCGTAGAAGCCTTGGAAGTTAGTGTGTTGATCGTTGGCACTTTGTGAGCTTATTCTGAGAGTGTGGGTTTGAATCTCAGATAGTATAAATTCTAATTGGTATGTACAGAACAAGTCAAAATTCTCCCCCTTCTATTACAGAGACATGTATCTACCTGTGTGGAAATTAGTGCTTCAGTAAATAAATGGAGCGATAGAAGTTATCGCATGAGTGAGGTTTTTCTGGACCCCTAGCTTTGCTTACTGGAAGGGATTCACATGCTGGAATAGCAATTCGAGACGATGCTCATAATGTTGATCACTGGATTGTCATGTCCATACTTAATTATTTGCAGACCACCCTCATATACCTGAACTATTACTGTGCAGCTTTAAATAACATATAAATGTATTCTTGGGTGGAGAGGTGGGTGGGGAAGTTGATTATTTTGAATTTTTCATTTAACTAAATTTCGAACTACAGTGCTCTGTGTCTGTTCATCAAACCAATAATTTTGCAACTACATTCATACCCAGGAAAACTTAAATAGATAAGTGGACTTTGCGCCGTATGATCGCAATTCTAGAATGTACAAAAGAAATACCGGCAGCAGAGTGACAGCAGAGAAATGTTGTAAGTATGGGTGGGTCGGGCGGGTCTAAAAGCGGTGCACACAGTCATGCACTGGTATCCTTGGTTGCAGGCTAGCTCTCCGGGGTATTTCCATTTGGCTTTGCACACCTCATAAGGTCTTTTGCATGGGAACTTACCGATGTCCCTAAGACTTAAGCTATGACAGTGAAGTTTAATAAATGTTAATAACGTAAATAGCATCAATAAAATGCGGCTGGGATATGTCATTTACTACATGCCCTGTAACTGACTTTACCAGTCAAGGGTTGAACCAACACCTACATTTGCATCTGTACTTGTTAATGAGGGAGAAGTTATTAAATGGGTCGTTGCATGCTATCAGTTAACTACTCGGTAAGGTCAACCGCATGTTAGTAGTTGCATTACGCTGTGTGTGGGGTGGGGGTGGGGTGTATAACGCACTGCACACTCGAGTAGCAGTTACCTGACAGCGAGGATATACACAGTGACATAGTTAGAATAACTACCGACTCTACACCGCTACTGAACGCTATCGAGCTTCGAACATGTCTGACAACAACGTTGTTGAAGATGAAGCTGGTCGGAGGGGAAGGAACCGGATACAATATTCTGTGGACGAGGCTCCGTTTCCTCTACTTTGGCCAGTACTGGGTCTCCAGGTAAGAACACTTAAGTGGTGAGCTTGACAACATGATTACATGACCATCAGTAACGATCTTGTACTCATCGCTTCATTGTGTACATGTCATCTGCAACGTTTTAGATAATGGAAACACTTAAGAATACTGGGATTATCTCATTCCAAATAAGAACATCATTTTACTGAAACGTCTCACAACGTCGTTGAGAGGCGTGTAGCAGTTGGAGAACTAAGTCAGGATAAGATGAAACTATATTGATGAACAACTTCTATTTTACAACGCGGAGCGACGTGTGGATGTAGATTCTGACACCGTTATCAAGTGATGTGCAATTATACAGGTATGACTGACTGACTGAGTTTAGTTTTACGCCGCTTTTAGCAATATTCCAGCAACATCACGGCGGGGGACACCAGAAATGGGCTTAACACATTGTGCTCATGTGGGGAATCGAACCCGGGTCTTCGGCGTGACGAGCCAACGCTTTAACGACTAGGCTACCCCACCGCCCTATACAGGTATGAAGGAATGTTAGTGTAATATAGCAGAAAAGTCTATAATGTACACAGCAGTACTGTAGGGATTCTGCACCCTGATTTAGCAACGTCATAATGTTGATGCATCAATAGCATTTGTTGGGATAATGCAGTATAGGGTGATTAAGTATCAAGATCACCAAGACCTGCATAGTTACACAAGCCGCGAACAGCGGGGACATTCTTGGGCCTACACAGGAGGTCGACACACTGAAAAACAGTCTTTGTAACCAAACAATTCCCCTTTGTTCACGACGCATACTTTTCAGTTAAAAGTATCTGGTGTCACTGAGTATCGTTTGTCTCTTCAAGGCTTGGCTTGCTCATGTACAGTACAACCAGAAATTATTGAGAATTTAAAGATTGTAATTTTTTATTTATTTTTCACTCATTACTCACGTATTAATGTGAATATAAGCAGAACATTACTCCAGATTCAAAGACAGGTGAACAGTTAGTATTTTGTCAAGTCACCATGGGCAGCAATGCAGGCTTCAATGCAGCGGGGCATACTACTGATCAAAGAAGTTAGAAAGTCGTGGTCCATGCTGTCCCAATATCGGACCTCCTCTTCTTTCATTTCAGCAATATTTGTCAGATTTTTCTTATTGACACTTTCCTTCATAAGTCCCCAAACTTTTTCTATTGGATTTAGGTCAGGGCTATAGCTTGGCCAATCTAATAATGTCATATTTTGGGTCGGAAACCAGGCCTGTGAATGGTTTGAACGATGTTTTGGGTCGTTGTCCTGCTGGAAAATCCAAACATTTCCATAGAACACGTGAGCAGATGGAAGTAAATGTCCCTCGAGAATATCTGTGTACCGCTCACTGATCATATTCCCTTCAAATACACATAGGGGCGTTGCCCCTAACACAGATATGCCACCCCACACGTTAAATTTCGGACTGTACTGTGGGCGCTGATACAAAGGTTTTTCAGTTTGTTTGGTCCAGAATTTCACTGTATTAGGAAACAGCCAAACAGAACTTTCATCTGAGAAAATCACATTGTCCCAGATACAATTTCTATGCTGTAAGCACCAGTTCAACCTTCGCTCCTTTTGTTCAGGTTTCATGATCGGTGATGGAATTCCTCGACGTTTCCTCCAACCTATTGCATGCATCTCAGTTCTAATTGTCTCTTTTCAGAGAGCCACAGTTCCTCTATCAATCATATCCAGCCTTAAGTTTTCTAAACTCCTTCGTTTGTTTTTAGAAACAAGAATACCAAGCCGCCTTCTGTCACCGACAGTCAATTTTCTGGGCCTACCTGTGTCTTCCTGGTGCTCAATGCCATATCCATTTGCAATATTTTTCAAAACACGATAAACAGTGGACAAAGGGATGCCTGTTCTACTTGAAATCACTTTAGCTGATCTGATGTCCTTGTTATAATACTCTAATATCAACTTCCTCTTCTCTAAATTATCCATACTGAGGATCACTGGAAATGTCGTCTGCTAGCAAGTAAACAAAGGGGGATAACTCTTCACAAGCTAATGACAAATGACTAACGGAGTTGTCTCTCTTGAATGAAACCAAACACTTGATAGCTGGTCAAGGTTGTTAATACTAGAAATCCAATTAAACATATTCCTAAAATTCTCAATAATTTCTGTCTGGTCATGCTATATTCTTACCTGTGCTGTCTTCTTTTATATCAGGCGCTATTGAGGGTGTCAGCTTTAACTAACTGTCGTTAAGCGGGTAAAGCCCCAGATCACTTGACATGCCGCAATAGAATGAAGTCAAGGTTTTGTTGAGTTTAAGAGTTTTTTAATTTTTGTAAGCACACTGAATGTAAAGTGTCTGTGTCAGCAATAGTGTGTATTTACAGAGTTGACAACAGACAAAGGCTAAATGATACATCGTGTTTTTCTATTGTAACATACACGTTATGCCTATGTAAATGTAAACCTGTTATGTTTTACAATTGCTGTAGATGTTCGGGTTATGGCGAGGATAGCGGTTAAAAAGCATTTGGAAAATCTATGGTGTGTTCAGAGCCACATATATTAAATATATTGAATGCATAATATACTCAGAAGCAAAAAATCGTCAGTACGAATTCAAAATTAGATAGGCGCTGTAAATGGACATAATAAGCGGATCAAAACCATTTTTTGTGTTCAATGTCTTGACACATCAATGAATAACTCAGCACAAATTCAAGACATTACGTGTACGTTTGCAGTCCATTCAGACTCTTGACTTCAGTATCTAGTGAGACCACCACGAGCGGCAATAACTGCAGCACAACGTCTATGCATGGAGTGCACCAATCGATCGATGAAGGCCATTGGCACCTGGAACCACACTCTGAGAAAGGCCTGGCGCAATAGGTCGGCTATGTTCGGCCTTGGTATGACATTATTCAGTCGCCTCTGAATTTCATCCCAAAGATGTTCAATTGGGTTTAATCTGAACTAAGGGCTGGCCACTGCATAATGTTGACACCGTTCCGCTTTAGGAAGTCCCGTGTAGCTCTCGCAGTATGGGCCCTTGCGTTATCATGCTGGAAAATGTTGTTCCGGTGACGTGCGAAATGTGGTATGACGTGGGGTCTGAGTGCTTGGTCGATGTAGCGCACCGCTGTGATGCTGCCTCCTCTCCCTGGACCAAGGTTCTGGAACACCACAGGACCCACTCTTTGGTTCAGGCCTATTCCACCCCATACCATGATGCTTGCACCTCCCCATGAGTCTCTTTCCATAACACATTGGTCTGAGTAACGCTGGCCACGTCGTCGGCATATTCTTGTTCTGCCATCTGCAGTTGATACGCAGTACCGACTCTCATCTGTGAAAAGAACAGTTCTCCATTGCCTGTATCGCCAGTTTTTGGTGTTGTAGGGCAAATTGTAGACGTTTACGCCGATGAGGGGTGAGGATTGATCCACGGTAAGGTCAACGGCAATGGAGGTTCCCGCAGTTAAGACGTCTGCGTACTGTATCAGTACTGATTGGTCTTCCGTGTGTTCCCACTGTCTGGCGTGCTATTTCAGATGCCTGCATGAAGGGATTCTGTACATGCTGTCAACAACATGGCGGTCTTGTTGTCTTGTTGTCACCCTTGGTCTGCTAGGACGGGGGCGAGCATTTGTGGTGTTGGTGGCCCGGAAACGTTGCTGCAGCCTGTCCGAACGTTGACCTGGAAGTGATTGGCAACGGCTTGTGCAGTGCAGCCAGGTTCAAGTCTTCCTTGCGCCTGGTTCCTCTGAGCTGTCGTGAGTCGCGGCATCCTGCTGACGTTGTAATGTGAATGTTTCAACGAGGTTTGGGGGTGCATTTTATAGGGCTGGTCCTTGTGAACAGCACGTGCAGCATGAGTTGCATGAAAAACAGTTGCATGGAGAACATCGTACCATCTCGGAGAGATCATGTTGCGTTTTTAAGACCATTTCCTGGGTTCCATTCTGGGTTTGGGAAGAAATGTCTTTGCTCAGGTAAAGTTGGAGATGTTGTCAAAAATATATAATCAGAACATGAAATGAGTTTACAGTAATCCGTTTCTGCGAAGGAAAATTCCAAACTGACGTTTCTTTTGCTGCATAGTATATTATATTAGATATGTTATCTGACGTTGTCGTCAAAACGATTTATGAAGAACCATGGTGTTAGGTGTTTAATATATGGATGATGACATCAACGAGCTAATGTAATAGCCATGGTATGAGGTGCTCACATCATGTATGTTGACATCATTATACTCTGTTCATAGTCATGATGTCAGATGTTCACAACATGGATAATGACATGATCATGACAACACAAAGCGCCTTTGAGCAGATGATCTTGATATTGGCGCCATGCAAATATTAGTATAATAATGACCATTAAGGATTGTTAATAGTCATGATGTCACATGTTCTGACATTATACACTGAAACATGTATCTATGTTTACAGGCAGCCGTTAGCTAACAAACTCTTATCTTAATAAATTGTCTGAGTGGGGAACCCGTGAACATACGGGTTAGAATTGGTCTTCAGCAAATCATGCTTGTCGTAAGAGGCGACTAACGGGATCCGGTGGTCAGGCTCGCTGACTTGGTTGCCACATGTCATCTTAAAGTGATACATTATGTATGCCTTCGAAACCTGTTGAGGCTTGGCTTTGTAAACGTCTTTGTTTAGGCTTTGGGACGTATACTGACTGACGTATAGCTATATCCTAAATACCAACATTTAACCCCCTATGTCCAGGTGTTTGAGTATATGTAGATCCGAGTTAGAATTGATCTTCAGTACCCCATGCTTGTCGTAAGAGGCGACAAGCGGGATCGGGTGGTCAGGCTCGCTGACTTGGTTGACGTATCCCAATTGCGTATATCGATGCTCATGCTGTTGATCACTGCATTGTCTGGTTCAGGCTCGATTATTAACAGACCATATAGCCATATAGCTGGAATATTGCTGATTGCGACGTAAAACAACAACCAACACCAAAACAAATCTGCGGGATATAATCATTAGGCCAGGACGTGCTTAACCATTCGTTTAACACCTGGTGTCATCTCTGATGTTTGTCCAGTGATTCATTCGTGTAATTTAAATTTCACCACTAATTTCAGATTTCAGCAGGCAACTAAATCACTGTGACTCGCCAGCGATCCATTCAGTCGCCACGACTAACAATTCAAGCTTTAACAAACTTTGCGTTATTTACATGTATCCGCAGGTATGTTCACACAGAGAGCGAGAGAGATAATGCACGGAGGTCAAAATCCTTGCCCAATTTTTAACAACCATGTGATATTGATAAAAACTGCAGTTAAATATGACAGCTACATTTGATCGGAAGCCATTTCTACACTGGTGACTCGTTTTACCTGATGGGAAAATGTGCTTTACGAGCCAGTGCACACCAGCCTCCGTTATTATCTTTGTAAAACAACATAGTTGCACTACAACCGTGGATGATACCAACGTTGATGAGATAGCTGACCGAAGGGGAAAGAACCGGGCACAATATTCTCTGGATGAATCTCCATTTCTCGCTTCTGTGGCCAGTATTTGGACTTCAGGTACAACCCCCTTTCCACAGGAGATTAAGGCAATGTCAGAGACAATAGTGTCTGAAGGCCCGCGTTCAGTAGCCACCAGGTGACATGAGTTGAGTGAGTTTAGTTTTACGCCGCACTCAGCAATATTCCCCAGGTGACATGAACGTGAAGTGTGTCCGGTACATAGTAACTGGAGCGTTTCAGGGAACACAATAGGTATTTTCTTGTGATTGACCATGGATTAGTTATGTTCAAGTATGTCATGTACATTTTGACTCACTCCTTATGAGAACTCAGTGATTATTGTTTTGCTATTAAAGATACACAAATACAATTCGTCATTAAAGAATACACCACAGCGAGAAACCTGCACGGTCATTTTGACCTACTGTTATCAAACAGGTGAGCGTAATAGTTTGTTAGAGGTGAAGTGTTACTTTAGTTTGTCGTGTGCTTTTTACATGTGCTCCTCATATGGAAATGCATCGGTGGTATAGAAAGAGAAAAATTCAATAATTTTAGTAAAGGTGTTAGTTTGTTACATTTTTACCAAGAGGGTTCCTTTATGTTTATGAAAAGGGTTCTGCGTGTCAGACTTTACCAGTATAAACTTTAATGTATATCTGCGTGAGGTGGTGAAAGGTTGTATGAATATGTCATGGTAAAACATGCAATATGTGTGTGCACATTTGGGGCATCGCGAACAATGACACCGAGTGTCAATTGTCAACCTCTATAAGTCTTTGAAGGACATTTAGAAGTAGAATGTTTGAAGATTTATGTTTCGGAGTGTATGCTTTCTCCTTCATCAGGTAATGATGCTTTTCTTGAACCTTATAAAACATTAATTCACCGCTGTTTGGTCTATGGATAAAAACGTCATGCCACGTCTGAGCAGTGACGTAGGTCGCCTGGTAGGCTGACTCAGTCCGCAGTTGTGCATCATCTCGCTGTACACCATTTCGCATCTTTGCCGTACGTATCAGAAATATAATTATGCCGCAACATCGACACTGAAGTATCATTGAGTGAGTGAGTTAACATTTATCGTCACATCGGCAATATTTCAGCCATATTGTGACGAGAACAATTAATTATTTATTACAGAACAATAAATTAGAAATTAAAAGCCTGTTGACTAAGAACAGTAAAACTACCAGTGTATCACAGATATCAAAGTAAAACAATGTTGTCATAAAACGATATTTTTACAGAGAACAATACGATATAAAAGCAGGCTATAGATTGCCAACACTTGAAGGTAGATCATCATACTAGGGAGCATGGGGACTTACAGTACATTTGCTAGCTGGATTTACACCATCCCTTCAGCTATTAGCAATTTTAGATAATCTAGATAAATTAAAATTACACATATACTACGATTAAAATGGTAGTAGGTTTAAATTTACTTGTTTGGGTCTTACGTAGCCTGAAGTGCCAGACCTCGGGTCGCCATAGTGACAGTTCCCCAGGATTGGTACATCGCCGTTGTACATGATCACCTGCGTTTGGTTTTTGACCAATGTTGCGTTATTGGCCGTCAAAGGGAACACGGCCAGCCGCCTGCTGCACGTGCCACTGTTGACAATCCACTGGATTTTGAAGATGGATGAATTTGAATACATTTGGCTAAATTTGTTAAGGACCGTTCAGGCTTTTTGCTGTGTCTGGGAATGTCATCAACAGATGATGCTTCGATCTGCCTTGCATTAATTGACATAATGACAAATCCTGACCATGTCTTAGTTTCAGTAGTCTGTTTGTGTATTTAGGGAATCACATGAATATACGCGTCTGTTCGTGAGCTTATGTTATGCTAAATACCACAAACGAAAAGAAAACATTTCTTAAATTTAAGATTTGATTATTTCAGCAATCCCTGCTCTGTGTTGCTGGTATCATATCTGCCCCCATCTTCATCGCCACCCAACTTGGCGTCAGCGACCAGCCAGAAATCCGCAGACAACTTCTGAGCATCGGATTGTTTACATGTGGAGTGGCCACTATACTACAGAACCTAATTGGATGCAGGTGATTCAAATATACTTGAATCCACTTACTACTTTTGATGCGTGAACACAACATGTAATGAGCGAGTAAATATTTTCGTATTTAATATATGTGCAAATATATGGATCATATTGGTAAGTTTGTATGAGAAGTTACTCTTTCTGCGAATGCAGCGACCAAGGACAGATTTTATTTTTTGTTTTTCGTTATTATATAGGAGCATTTAACGATCGGGTCATATTTTCTTATTTGTAGATATTCTAATTATTGGTCCACAGTATACATATTTGTTTCTTTGTCGTTTAACCCCGCACTTAGTAATATTCCAGATATATGACAGCAGTTCGTAAATAATCGCGTCTGGACAAGGCAGTGCAGTACTAGTCATTGACATTGTGAGCAATGATCTCTGCGATTGGGATTAAATGACATGTGTCAGCCAGATCCCCGAGCCTGACCGCCCCGATCCCGTTAGTTGCATTGGTTGCTAAGGATCACTTCTATTTTTATACTTTGTTGACAGAGAAACACAAATCTAAATGAAATACATTACATGTGTAATTATCCATCAATTTATATAATGTATCTCGGGCCGGAGGTCTGTAACTGAAATAAAATTCTGTTCTGTTCTGTTCTATACTTCTAATCCGGTTCTTCACGGGCGGAACATATTTGTAGTTAGCATGTATATGAATAAATCAATATCGAGTAAATATGTTAGTGGAAAGTGTCGATGCGAATATAACTTTGTACTATTCTTATCAAGACTGAACGCCAGAAAATGTCACCAATTTCATGTTTCAGACTCCCCATCATTCAAGGGGCAAATACGTCCTTCATAGCACCGATGGCCGCTATTTTCAGTCTAGCAAAATGGAGTGATGGTATGTCAATTTCCGTAGACACATATACTGTTAGAAATTTACGCAAGGCAGCAATCGTGCACCTATTCTGGTGTAGTTCGGGGCTTTGTCCGAGCTTCAGGCATATTGATGATGTCTACGACAATGTGAAAGAGGACCTCATACACAACTTGTTTGGATCAGGCTTACAATATTCAATGTCAATGTCAGTTACCTCGGTGATAATAACTGAGTATGTTTGATAAAATTCTTATTTTGACTTATACAGTTTATGTTCCGATATTTTGTGAGTGTCTTTGTGAATGGTGCCAATTGATCTTCAGTAACCCATGCTTGTGGTAAGAGGCGACTAACGGGATCGGGTGGTCAGGCTCGCTGACTTGGTTGACACATGTCATCGTATCCCCATTGGTTAGATCGATGCTTGTGCTGTTGATCACTGAATTGTCTGGTCCAGACTCGATTATTGCAGACCATCGCCACATAGAAGGAATATTGCTGAGTGCGCCGTAAAAATAAACTCACTCACTCATATGCCAAGATGAATACACACAAGTGTTTGCCACTGATATGGCAATGTCCCCAGCCGCTAAAGAATGGAATGTCTATATTTACTATTTTTAACTTTTTTGGTCACATACAAGACCCCTGATGACTGGTGTCTGCATAATCACCCAATGTAGGCTGTCAACATATTTGAAAACATTGGGTACATGTTTTATGAGATATCGCGTTTAAATAAGTTTGAAAAGTGGTCAAATTGTCGTGGTGACCTTGAAAATAAGGTCAAGGTCACCCAAACCGGCTGGTGTCTGCGTAATCCCCCCATGTAGGCTGTCACCCAATTTGAAGACATTGGGTACAACAGTTCATGAGATATCGCGTTAACAAGAATCGGGACGTACGGACGCCGCTGAATACATAGTCCCCCGTTCCGCGTTGCGGAGGGGGGACAAATATGCCAATCACTGGATAGTCGATTATTTACTCGATGATTCACAGACTGCCTACATGTAGCTGGGATTTTGCTGAGTACACAACTGACAAACAAACACTTTAACGAATCGTGCAATCAGCTTCACGTTTTGTAGATTTGTTATCACGATGGATGTGTTTCTCTTTCACGTACACAGTAGCATCTTAACATCCTGTTTCCTACAACTGCACATAGAAATGGGCAGTACATGTGATGAAAGGAATAGGGGGTGTTAATGTTGCAGTGGCTGATTACAGGTTTAATCTGTTTATTACATTTTTAGTATATAATAAATATAATATTGCATGACAAAACACTATAGAATGGACTCTTTTAATGCTAGAATCTCTGCTGAAGGAGATTCCGGTAGTCAATGGAACAGCGACAGATGAACCCTGGAAAATGAGGATGAGAGAGGTAGGGTTATTCTTTGTTTTGAGACACCCCTAGAAACTAGGGAAGTTTCAGTATTTAATGGCATTCACTACATTTGAACATTAGCTGTATATGAAGTACTAACATATCGATGCTAAGCACACTCTCAACTGATTCACGCAGCAACCTGTTTAAACCTGTATAAAAGTACGTTGAGAACAAACTCTCGTATTACAGCCATCACAAATTGTTTTGTGTTGTCCGAGCCACTTGCTGTATTTTGCTATACGAAATGCGTATAGCAAGTAATGGTTATATCGAACCGACGGACATCACGAATTGTTTTTGTTGTCCGAGCCACTTGCTGTATGTTTTGGACGACATGTGTATTACAAAAAACGGTTATATCGAACCGACGGACATCCGTGATTGTATTTTGTTGTCCGAACCACTTGCTGTATGTTTTAGATGACATGTGTATGACGAAAAACGGTTATAACGAACTGACGGACATAACTAACAGGGTTCCATCCTGGCCACTTGTGGTATATTTTAGTTGTAATGCGTGTAACGAACTAAAACTACTGGTCCCTTCTTTACAACCGTAGTTTACTGTGTGCAACTGTTTAGACAGTGATATAACATCTTGTGCCAAGTTGAATGCGCAATCACAGGGTAATTCAGTTCATTTCACCACTTACACATATAAGGTTACATCTAGACGTGCTCTGCACACTGATTCGCTGAAGACAATGGTGTAAATGGTGTATACTGTATACAAGGTGGGTGTACATATCTGAGGTAGTAGGGGCGGTGAGGTAGCCTTACTGGTTAAAGCGTCATAACCTGGGTCTGATTCACCACAGGGAAACACACATGTGTGAAGCCCATTTCTGGTATCCCTCGCTGTGATATTGCAGGAATATTGCTAAAAACGGCGTATAACCATACTCACTCACTCTGAGGTAGTATCTATTATATGATCTTTGCTTCAGCGAGTATTGTGATAACAGACCGTAGCGCAAAGCTGAAAATTTCAGTCAGTTAAACATTCGCCTGCCACAAATCATTCAACGAATCAACTGACAGTGAAGTTCATGTATTTGAAAGATTTTCTACATGTAAATGATTACTCCTAACCTTTAATTACGGAACATGCAAATATCAATGAATATCACATGAATAGACTGGGGCCCTATACAACCGTCACATCTAGTTACTATAAAACGGTAATGACCCGACAGATCCTCAGCAATAGTTGAATGTTATCTATCACAACAGCTAAAATAAACATCAGATTGATTTGTAATAACTCCTCATTGTGTTTTAAAAATTCGGATGCACACTGATGTTACAGTGACCTGTGACGTAACACAGCATTAGAACAAGGTCACAACTAGTAATCATAAATTACAAGTTGAGACCAAACTGAGGGAAGACATTACCGGCGAGGACTGCGTTGTCCATACTATAGATCTATTGGAGATGAGTTCCTATTTTTGAATATGTGAGAAGTACCTCTCAATACAAGGTAACATAAAGGAAAGAAGCCTTTACAACCTATCACTAAAAAGGTCCATGCATTGCTTACATTTGAACCCACATTTTCTGGATTTAAATGTAGACTCCAGTGACACGTGGTTCTGCTGTGATGGATTTACAGTTTTTATATTTACAGTTTTTATATTTACAGTTTTTATATTTATAGTTTTTATATTTACACTTTTTATATTTACACTTTTTATATTTACAGTTTTTATATTTACAGTTTTTATATTTATAGTTTCCGTTCATGTTTACACATTTAATGTACTCAACACACTGCACAAAAGTGACGGTGCAGCCTAAGTTGACCCATATGATTTTAACAAACAGTTTACCAGGGAACACAGTGAAAGAAGCGCGCATAAAATAAGTATTTTAGACATTTTCACAAAGACGTTCAGTGTTCAACCAAAGTGTTGTGAGGTGAAATCTTGTTTGTATGGAATACTGTAAAGGGACATTCCATTGGTTTGTGTCGCGGCTTGCATCTTGGAACTCAGAAAGAGGCACAAGAACATAGCGTCCCAAGTCTTCTGTGGCACTGACGCGGTGGATTAAGTTTGGGATAACCCGGCCTATGACAGATTATTTACATAATCATGCAATACTAGATCCCAGGTAATAGTGTTCAGTTAACCGAGTTGAAGCAAATGGTTCGTGAGGGATGTCGATGCACCAACAATAATGACATTAACGATGTTTAATACCAAGGATAAGTTAGATCGGAGGGATGTGTGTGTGTGTGTGTGTGTGTGTGTGTGTGAGAGAGAGAGAGAGAGAGAGAGAGAGAGAGAGAGAGAGAGAGAGAGAGAGAGAGAGAGAGAGAGAGAGAGAGTGTGTGTGTGTGAGGGGAATTGAACAGCCACTTGTAGAGCAATTCAAAAAGAGTGCTTTAACACAGAAGTTGAGGTTGTCGCAATCCGGTGAAAATCAAGCTTAGAACGGGATCCGGGTGTCTGTTTTTCACACCGCCTTAGTATTTGCTCTTGAGTTTACATTTTGGGATGGGAAATGTATTATTCAGCATTTCTGTGTGATTCTATAGCTGTAAGTAGATCCATTGCTGTGCAAACGAAATTCTCGCGCAACGTTCACTTTTCCAGGAAGTTAATGCCAGTGTCACTCTAATGATACCCCAGAACCTTAATGACGCGCTAATGACAACACGTCATTAAAACGTTAGAACAACAGAATTTAATGATTCAGTACTTAATGACACGTTCATGTTTCATTAAAGTTTCACGCAACCGGGTCCTGATCTTTAAGGAAAACATGCTTGTCATACGAGGCGAGACACGGGATCGGGTCGTCAGGCTCGCTGTGTTTGTTGACATCTGTCATCATTTACCATCAGCGTAGATCGATACTCATGACGTACAGCACTTGAATGTATGGTTCAGACCTTTTAACACTTAGCGAAGCATCTCAAAATGATACATTATGTATGCTTTCGAAACCTTTCTTAAAACGACTTTGTAATGCCTTTGTGACGTATACTGACTGACGTAGAATATATCCTAAATACCAACATTTGTTTGAGTACATGCAGATCCCGGTTAGAATTGATCTTCAATAACCCATTCTTGTCGTGAGAGGCAACTAGCGGGATCGGGTGGTCAGGCTTGCTGACCTGGTCGACACATGTCATCGTATCCCAGTTGCGTAGATCGATGCTCATGCTGTTGATCACTGATTGTCTGATCCAGACTCGATTATTTACAGGCCGCCGCTATATAGCTGGAATATTACTGAGTGCGGCGTAAATCAAAACTCACTCATTGACTCATTGAATACATACAAGAATACGTTCATGTACCGTTTTCAGTGTATTTACCAGTGTGTACTTTGGACTTGCAGATACAAGGCAACTTAATGCTGGCCTCGACGACACAGTTTGTCCTGGGAGCCACTGGACTTATTGGCTTCTTTCTCAAGTTTATCGGTCCACTGACTGTCGCCCCAACCATTACAGTTATAGGCCTGTACATAGGACAGTTTGCCATACCACTGTGTGCCCAGCACTGGGGAATAGCATTTCTGTAAGTATTTTTTAAGGCTGAACGACGCTCTGTGATCGAGTTGTTTTGGCTACAACACGTAGATAACAACTGTAGATATGTACCAATAACACCTTTAAAGTGTTCAACAGTTTTAACTGCATTATCTTGACATGCAATACGTTTATGTTGTGGAAATCATGCAACTAATATGCTATTTAGACATGGTTACGGTCGACTGTCATATAGCAACCTATCCTGAAATGAAGTCACAAATGGAATATTTGATGATTGGTCCGATCAATGGTTTGGAATATCAAATTCGCTGAGAAAACTCAAACTTGGTTAGAAGAGGCAGAACGAAACGCCCCAAGAGAGGGTTGGTGGAACAACTAAAGACACCATGTGATTAAAAGCAACCGTCGTACTCCCTGAAGTACAATACAGCAATGTGACATTGGCTCAAAAAGTCTGTTAGAGCTCGAGTATATGGGAAGATAATATCCTTCTGCAACTCAACGTAACCTCCCTCTAATTGCATACAAGGGTAGAACATAAAAGATGCTAAATCCAGGAACTGTTAATGTGGCAGTTTGGTAGCCGGAAATGGTTGTATCATGCTCCAACTAAAACAAGCGACTTCCATGTACGTATATGAACATACACATGCAAATTTCTAATCACGATCTAGAAGACGAGGAAAGATTTAACACTAGATGAGGCATGGTAATGTTTTCTTCAGTATGCAAACATGTAAATACACATCACACAATTTTACACTCAACATCGTTCGTTTGGTGAATTTGTTGGACACAAGTGTTCGGTGTCGTAAACTTGAAGACGTCAAAGTAAAGATACTACTCTAGTACAGATTGGTACTAAACTGTTATACTATACACTGTAGAGGTGAAGGGTGGTGTGGTGAGATACTTATGATAAAATAGTCCTGTAAGTTTTCGCGGATTAATGTATTGCCTCACAGGCTTACTTTCCTGTATTTTCATGTTTTCAATTACGTTAAGCTGAAATGTTTAAATTAATGAGGACATTACGACCGACATTTGTACTTCAGATCCTTGGCTCTGATGATAATATTTGCCCTCTTCATGACAAACATTAGACTTCCACTGCCAACATATTCCAGCCGAGATGGTTGCCATGCCAGCAGGACACCGATCTTTCAGCTGCTCCCCGTGAGTATATTAACACTCATCCGCGCATTGGTGTTTGCTTTCATACATTTGTACGTACAGTTAAGAGTCGATACAAGACGAGTGAGTGAGTGAGTGAGTGAGTGATTTAATATTTAACGTCACATAGGCAATGTTCAAGCCATATGGTGACGAGAACAATTTTGACGTTGATAAAGAATATGTGTATATGATAAAACCTGTCGTCAAAGGACAATAAAACACCTAGACCATCACAGTTAAATTAAAACTAGAATGTTAAGTTAAAACAAATAACATTTTTGGACAATGCAATATAAAGCAGGCAATAGATCGCCATCAACTGAGTGAGTGAGTGAGTTAAAATTTATCGTCACATCGGCAATATTAATTTGATGCATAGTAATTAATGGTAAATTGTAAAACCCTGTCAACGAAGGACAGTAAATATAACTAGATTATCACAGATTCGAATTTAAAACTAGTAATTTAATCTAAAACAGTTTAACTATAGATGACAATACAATATAAAAACAGGCTATATACTGCCAACAACTGAAGGTCGATACAAGACGAAAACGCCGTCTAATCACATCACCCACAGGCACGAGAGATCTTCTGTGGGACGTTACTGATACAGAGATTTAAACTGACGGCCAAAGAAACTTTACTATAGTTTTTACATCAATTTATTTCAAAAGCATAAAATATAGACACTTCACAAGAAACAAAATTAACGTTATACAACAAGTATTCAAGACCACTGGAAAAGTCGGTCGTCTGATGTCGTGATTTGGGATTTTAGTCATCGTTCTTCTTGGAGGGCCTGGATCAGCTCTTGTCGGTTGACTGGAGGAAGTTGTTGCTGTCGAACATGACGGTGTTCTATGGGAGACTTGTCTGGTTGGAGTGCAGGCCGTGGCATGACGCTGACGTCGGCTGCAAGGAAGTTCTGTATAGGTTCTGACATTGTCATGCTGTTAAAGGAACGGTTGTAGAAATGGTAGCACAGAGGGATGGTAGCACAGAGGGACGAAGATTTTCGTCCATGCAATCCTGGGCTGTCAAATTTCGGTTAACGATGGCCAGAGGTGTTCTCTCCTGCCCAGAAATTCCCCCCCCCCATGCCCTCCTGAACATTCCGCCTTTCTTCCTCCCAGTGGATGCTAAACATACTGCCTTCAATCATGTATGTTCAAACAGAACTGGATTTCGTGAGTCAAAACGATCCTCTTCCCCCTCCCAGACGTACAGTCTGGACCCAGCTCAGTGTCTGCAGACGATGTGGCACTGTCAATGTATGTACCTGTCCTCTGTAAAGTCTGTAAGTCCTAAGGCGCCTTCATAGCAGATGACGTCACTGTCAGGAATTCATTCCGGAGATGCAAAGTAAGCATGTACCAGTCTTCAATGGGTGTAGTTCCCTGAGTCTGTCTGTTATAGGTCTGTTTGTTGTCTGGCCGGTCTCTCTGTAACATTAGGATAGTTACAGCAAAACAGGAGCTGTCAAACGTCCTGGCAAAGTGGCCAAAGGTGGCTCCCATCTGTATCCTGGGCCATTAGGCGTTGTTGCATTTCAGTGGTGTTATTATTCTTTTCATCAGTGCGAGTGTCCTTTTAACATATATAACAAGATTCCTATTTTTCACATAATAAAAACAAACCGTGTACGTGTATCATTTTCTGCCTACAGCACTGTTGTGTTTGGACGATGTGTTTTGCATTGGTGTAGTTTGAACTCCAGACAATCTGTTTTCATATGTTTGAAAAGAGTTTGAAAGTTTCAAAAACGTCACTCTATTACTGTTCCACAAGGGAACTCTTCTTTGCAAGACTATACTCCACAGAAAGAGATTATATTGGTCGTAAAAAAGTGATGAAAAGTAAATAAATACTTGTTGAAAATCAGTGATGACACCACACTTGTGCGATAATGGTAAATAGGGGTAGCAAATGGAATACTGAGTCAAAAAAAGAAACTTCACATTCTTTCTTCAGGGCACTATAAAAGAACAAGAGATGGTAAGATGGTTAAATTGTTGTTATTTCATTGCTGAGATCTGTGTGGTGTACTCGATACACTGACAGTGCCATAATCAGTTCCGTTAGGCTACACCCCGGTCCAAAACATGGGTATACAGAATGTCAAGTCACAAGAATAAAAATGCGAAATTTCGCAGTTCAATATCGTGTATGGCCGCCCCGCGCATTCACCACTGCCAAACACCGTCTCCTCATCGACTGCCTGATGCTTGTGAACACGTGGTTGGGGATTCTGCGCCATTGCTCTTGCAAGGCAGCGCCAAGTTCCTGCAAATTCTGAGGTTGGTTCCTAAGACCACGAAGCCTTCTCCCAAGTGCATCCCAAACGTGCTCTTTTGGATTAAGGTCAGGGGACCTCGATGGCCAGTCCATGACGTTGATTCCAGCGTTTTGAAGGAAATTTCTTGTCAACATCGCGGTATGCGGCCGTGCATTATCATGCTGGAACTGTAGACCTGGGCCATGAGCCGCCATGAAAGGAACGAGTTCAGGGGTGAGCACCTCGTCGCGGTAAGCAGCAGCTGTGAGGTTTCCACGGATGACCAGAAGTCGGGAACGGTTGTTCCATCAGAAAGCACCCCACACCATGCAACTTCCGCCCCGGAATCTGTAGACTTCCTGCACACAACATTGGGCATACCGTTCACGACGTCGTCTCCAGACTCTATGCCTGCCGTCCGCGAATCTGAGGGTAAACCTGGATTCATCGCTAAAGACGACTCGATTCCGGTCTCTCTGGGTCCATCGGAGGTGACGTTGGGCCCACAGCAGACGTTGACGTTGATGAAACGGCGTCAATATTGGCCCACGATATGGACGTCGAGAATGGAGATTGGCAGCCCGGAACCGATTTCGAATGGTCTGTGAGGATAGTCGACCTTTAAACATCTCAGCCCTGGTTCGTGCAGCCGGCAGAAATCTGTCACGTAGGTGACGTAGGACGATTTGACGGTCTTCTGCTCGTGACGTCACACGTGGACGACCCGACCTTGGGCGATCAGAAGTGGTTTCAGTTTGTTGTAGACGACCTCGCAAGTCATACACAGTACGACGGCTGCATCCCATTGCTCTTGCGACGTCAATAACTGATCTTCCCGCTTGCAACATGCCAACGGCACGTTCACGTTGCACATTTGACAATCGTGGCATTTCAAGTACCGTTAGAACTGTGGTTTTAAAGTGTTTTTTCAATTCTTGAGGCCAATGCAAACACGTGCATATGAAGAAAACTTCAATGCGAGGATCACGTGATTGACTGCACGTGCAAAACCTGATTTGGCACTAACATCATTTGCACGACGAATGGATGGGTTTGAGTGGGTTTTGCTAACGTTTTTCTAGAGTCGAAAGATAGGGATCCCATTTCGGATACATAGATGTATCATCAGAGAAAAATTATTCATTATTTTCCAAATTACATTTTGTGAAGTTTCTTTTTTGACTCAGTATATATACCGTTATTGTAAATGGACCCAGGATGTTTAACATTCAGATATGATGCATTAGGGAAATTATTTATTATTATAGGATATGTATGTAGCGCACATATCCACTCAACTAGTACATGCTCAAGGCGCTGAAAGCAAATCGGACGACTGATTAACTAGCTTAGCATATTTAGGAGTTGTACCAATCAATAATGTTTAACTATACACATAAGGAAACATTTGGTCTTGATTATCTGCAGAAACAGATTTGGGAAAGTAAAACAATCGACAATGAATCGATCAGTAATGACACCAGGTGTTGGTTGTTAACTCATTTGTTCATTAAAATATATCTGTATTTTATATACGTTTATGCCGTAGACAAGGACATAACAAATAAACGATTCACAGGTACTCATTTCCGTCGGGTTGGCGTGGTTCCTGTCGTTTGTGTTGACGGTGACAGACGTTCTGCCCAGCAACTCCACCCAGCCCGGACATATGGCCAGGACTGACGTCAGAATCAGCGCCCTCTATGATTCACCGTGGTTTTACTTTCCACTTCCATGTACGTGAAGGTATCCCCTCCACCTGGAACATCCACATTAGAATTAACCTCCAGTTGTTTGTAAGACCCGCGAAGATCCGGCATACGTGTCTTAAGATGCTACAAGCGAGATCCATAGGTCAGCTTGACTGTTGCTGAGTGTGAGGTGTAGCCAGACGCAAATACATGTGTATATTTAGAGATCATGGAATGCCTCGAATTAGAGTTCACAAAGCCCCAACCGAAAGATAATAACTGTTCGTGCTTAATTCATATACAGATGATAAAGTTAAACTTGTTCAGTGGGCTCGGTTTTGGGCAGAGATCCCTTGTGGATATGGAAGGGTTTCCTGTTTCACTCAAATTTCCCTAAACCTCAAATGTCAATCATATGTGACAGAATGGAAACAGAACATTGTATCGAAATGTACAGAACATTGTAGAGAAATGTTATTTACGAAAGTATCTAAATTATAGGAAATATAAATTATGGTCCACTGGTAATGTCATTACGCTACAACAATGCAGCTACTAGAAGCTTGCTGCCTCAGTCATACATTCTGTATGGTGATTTCAGTTCAGTTTGGAATGCCTACGGTTAGTGCAGCAGGATATGTGGGAATGCTGGCAGCTACAATTGCTTCTACCATCGAATCTACCGGGGACTATTTCGCTGCAGCTCGTGTGGCGGAAGTTACTCCGCCGCCTCCTCATGCCGTAAATCGAGGTATAGCCATGGAGGGTTTTTCCAGCACTATCGGCGGAATGATTGGTGGACTCTGTGCAAGCACTTCCTATAGTGAAAATATAGGTGCGATAGCAGTGACAAAGGTATGCCCATGAAATATAACATAGATAGTATATATCATTTTTATCAATAATTGTTTTCTTTTGGTCATAAATATCCATTGAGTATGTTTACTCTTTACATTTAATCAGATATGAAATATCGTATCTGATATCTATCATAGAGGTTTATTTGTAGAAAGGGCAATACATGCGAGGGATAAACCTTTACTGATGAGAACAAAATAATGGAACACCGCCTGGTCGCAGTGTCTCTATATGCTTTCTTAGATTTTCAGGGCGGTGGGGTAGCCTAGTGGTTAAAGCGTTCGCTCGTCACGCCGAAGACCCGGGTTCGATTCGCCACATGGGCACAATGTGTGAAGCCCATTTCTGGTGTCCCCCGCCGTAATATTGCTGGAATATTGCTAAAAGCGGCGTAAAACTAAACTCACTCACTCACTCACTCACTGTTAGATTTTCACTAACATTGCAATTAGCTTGCCAAGAAACGTGGACAAAAATAACGTGACGCTAGCACTTTCATGTGTTCCCTTAGTAATTTTCTCAGTATACTTCTTAAGTCTCAATTCAACGTCCTCACTTGTCTCATTGGTGCACAAAGACATATCTGTACATATGTACATGTATGTTTGTTCCAATGGAGGTATTTTAACCAGACATTATAGTCCATAAACTCGTGTTAAAGGTGGCCAGCAGAAAGGTGTTTGTCGTAGCAGGCATTCTTCTGGTTTTGGCTGGTGTTATTGGCAAGATTGGCGCTGTTTTCACCATCATCCCCGACCCGATCATTGGCGGTGTGAACCTCATCACCCTAGGGATGGTAACGGCCGTTGGAGTGTCCACATTGCAATTCATTGACCTCAGGTCGACACGGAACCTGATGATCATCGGGACATCAACGATGCTTGGACTAAAGATTCCCGACTGGATGGCTTCAAATTCCCAGGCTATTAACACAGGCAGGTACCTATTAACCCGGCACCTATTAACACAGGCAGGCACCTATTAACACAGGCAGGCACCTATTAACACAGACAGGCACCTATTAATAAAACATATTTACTAACATTGTTATTTCCATAATTGTAATCAATTCAAAGTTTGAAATAAGTAAACAACGTCTTGTCCCTTTAGGCTTGCTCGACTTCACGCACTGACAGATCTTTCATTGTGAAAGGGCTGTTCTTAAAAACTATTTATGCTACATTATACAAATTCATTCTCCAGAGTATTGTTGCCATGACGATCAAATCATCTTGGCGTAACCGTGCCTAACACAATGTTTTCTTTGCATAGGTATAGATCAGGAAGATTGAGTGTGGGAGTTTAGTTCACACGCTTTGAATTGCTTGCCAGACTTACGTGTGTTGAAAGCCTGGTGTAATGATGGTCTTACACGTTGACCACTTTTGTGAAACCCACCAGCACGGGTATGAGGCTGAAGAACACAATTGGAAGGAACAAGGATTCGAACCATTTTTCAAAGATTTCTGGCGAATTTCGGCGCCTCATACCATAAGAATTTGAGGACAACTTATGATACATACGTTTGCCATGAAGCATAATTTCTAAAATGACTAATGGGTACTGTTTTCGTGTACCATGGTACAACGAAGGTGATGCTGTTTCCTGCTTTCATTCTGCACATGCACTTTGGTTTCATTACCAGGACACACGAACACAGAGCTATTTTATAGGTAGTTAATTAAGTGATAATTGTAAGGGAATAGGACACAAAAATCGTGCTCATTTCATGTCCATTTGTGTCACGACCTATGCTGGGGACGACTATTTCACACAATTCATAAATGCAATGTGAAATGCTAAGGGAGTTTAAGCTCATATACCGTTTAACATTAGGGCCAAACTATCGAATATAGCATCTTTGTGATGTTTGCATGTCTGCTGATAGAAACCTGAAGCCACGTGACATCATACTAATGGTAGATATGCGGAGGACATTTACGTTTACAAGTGACAAAAAATGTCCGGTACATTGTCGAATTGTACAATATTGGTTTCGTCTGTATTTGTTCGAATAGACAATTGCATGTGCCTTTGCATGTGTTTATGGCGGGTACCATGAGGCAGGAAAAGTTCATGTTTTCTTGCGAGTACCTGAAGAAAAACCCATCATTATATGATAGTGATCCATACATGCACGCTCGCGTAATATGGTCGGAAAAGGTGAATCAATTGGAGGTTTCTTGTGAGTATCGAAAGGTTTTGGTATTCGCATTTTTTCGTGTAGAATATTCTACTCATAACAGAATTATGGCCTATATATCGTGAATTACCGCTCTGGAATTCTATCATTCGTGTCAAATAATTTGAAGTATTCGAAAATATTCTCTCAATATTTCACGGTACACTACAAATATGTTTGTTGGCATCTTTGTCACTCTTGTGCAGTCATGAACATTTACATATTACAGGCAAAATATTTCTTTATTCAAATTCACGAACGTTTCTACAAGAGTTGGAACTGACATCTGATGAATTTTAAATAATTATGTAATTTACTCTAAATAATGATGGTTCTTTCTGTCAAGATACTGTGAAACAGTATAACCCTTTATATATATACGTAAATGTTAACTATTTCCTTGTGTATTCTCTCTTAATTCGTTCGTTTGAATGCTTTACAGGAAGCGCCGATTTTGACCAGGTGCTGACAGTACTGCTCTCGACCCCGATGTTTGTTGCTGGATTCACTGGCTGCTTCCTGGATAACCTTGTGCCAGGTACACCTAGTCTGGATTAGTATTCATCCTTCATCATCATCAGGTGTTATGATAATGCTGCATCATTTAAGTATTATATGACATAAGGCCTGGAGCTGTCTTCCCTCAATAAGCTAACACGCTTCAAATTGCATTAAACCCAACTCACTTCATTGCTTAACAAATGTGAATTACGATGTGAGTTCTCACTTCAAAGTAAGGTGTGCTTACTCGTTTGCTATCTGACTTCCTAAGTAAGGTGTTCTTACTATTTTGCTAGCTGATTTTCTGATCCCATACAGTCCACACCACCACCAAACACCATAATGAGAAATTGTAAAATGTGAAGAGGTGAAGAAAAGCTTACTTTTCTTATTTCATCCGAACGACAGTATGGCCGTGGTTCGAATCCCAGCCGGGGAAGTTTATGGCAGCTACAGAATGTACCTGAGTAATCGGGACGTTTTTGAAATGTTTACGTGTAAATAAATGTTGCATTACAAAGATGTATTCCACGTCGCAATATATATACCCCAGAGAAAAGTTGACGCAGCGTTAGGATAATGAGTGCATTACCATTGATCTCAATATGCGAGGAGCACATTGATATTCGCTAATGACAAACAGACATACCATGTTTTCCTAGTAAATAAATAACGATGCTTGTCTTGTTCATTTCTGAAGGCACAGAAGAAGAGCGAGGCATTGAAAAATGGCGGCAGAATATGGAGGGGGTCTGGTGTAATTTACATAACAGAAGAACATACATACGAGTTTCCCTATATCACTCAATTCATCAGAAAAGTCAGATGTTGTGGTTACTTCCCAATGTCACCCACCTTTGACAAACAAATCAGCTGCAGTTGTTGCAAGAAAAGGTCAAGCAACTCTTCGTATGCTGTAGACAATCCTCTTGAGATGGGAAATTCAGAAAAACTGTAGCCATGCATACAGTCTATATATTTCAGTAAAACTAATGACTCTCATTCCTTTGTTGATTATAGTCACGATATGGCTGAAATACTGCCGATGTGACTTAAAATTGTAACTCACTCACTCCTTTGTTGATTTATATAGTCACGAGATGGCTGAAATACTGCCGATGTGACTTCAAATTGTAACTCACTCACTCCTTTGTTACTTAATGGTGATTCTGTGGTACATATGCCATTCGAACAGGTTCTGTTGACACCGTCCACCAACTACATTAACAAATAAACAAGATATTCAAGAATGAAATGTATTAGTTGGATGATTTAGCATGTGCATGTAACGAGATGACAACTTCATCTTCAGAAAGCAATAAAAGACATCTTGCTTTTCTTCTTTTACTCTCATAATAGGCAGGGCATCAACACACTGAATTAACAGACCCGTGAAGATCCGTCTTCAGTAACCCATGCTTGTCGTAAGAGCTCAACACGCATACCAGTAAGCATCTCCACCTAGATATGTACAACTTGAAACTTAAAAACTATAACGTCTTCATAACATGAATATGCATTCTATGACCTATATCAAAATAATGAATGATGACACTTTGGGATTAAACCCTTCATAGGTAAAATGTATTGACAACATCGAGCTGTTCAGAAGTCTTTAGTTTCTTTCTTTGTTTGCTTGTTGTTTTACGCCACATATAGCAACGTTTAAGCTGTATGACGGTGGTCTAGATATAAGCCTGTCCGGACCAGACCTCCCATTGAATGACGACCAATTCTTACCCTTCATGGTCTGAGAAGCGCCGAGTACCGGTCACTAAAGGACGACGAGCTTTGTTTTCGAGTCGGTGACAGTACGTCCCATAATTAAGCTATAGTTACCTCAAAGTCTAGCAAACATAAAACCTGTCGACTAATCCACTGTGCGACACAAGCGACCTGCTGATGTCTGACGTATTGTGGACGTGCAAGAACTGTGAGTTTGATTTGACTCTATGGTCAGCACTAAAAAAAGACCTATACCAATGTGCATTAACAAGACGACATACATAAATATCAGTAATTATTGAATAACGATTACAATCGAAACATCAGCAGAGGGTTACATGTTTAACACACAGCGTATCCACAGTAGAACTTGTATCGGTCTAGGTCGACTGAGATATTTATGCAAAGATCGTCTCTCAGTAGACAAGTGTAGCCTGGTTGTGGCCGTGTCAGTTCAACAGAGATGATCTCTATAGTAGACCTAGTCTAGATTTTGGGCAAGTGAGTCAGTTCAACACAGATCATCTCCATGGTAGATCCAGAATAGATCTTGGCGGCCGTGTCAGTTCAACGCAGATCACTTCCATGGTAGACCCAGTCTAGATTCGGGCGGCCATATCAGTTCAACACAGATCATCTCCATACAAAACCCAGTCCAGATCTGGGCGGCCATATCAGTTCAACACAGATCATCTCCATAGCAGACCCAGTCCAGATCTGGGCGGCCATATCAGTTCAACACAGATCATATCCATAGCAGACCCAGTCCAGATGTGGGCGGCCATATCAGTTCAACACAGATCATCTCCATAGCAAACCCAGTCCAGATGTGGGCGGTCATATCAGTTCAACACAGATCATCTCCATAGCAGACCAAGTCCAGATCAGGGCGACAGTGTCAGTTCAACACAGATCATCTCCATAGCAGACCCAGTCCAGATCATGGCGGCCATGTCAGTTCAACACAGATCATCTCCACAGTTGACCAAGACTAGATCAGGGCTGCCATATCAGTTCAACACAGATCACCTCCATAGTAGACCCAGACTAGATCATGGCGACAGAGTCAGTTCAACACAGATCACCTCCACAGTAGACCCAGTCCAGATCTGGGGGGCCATATCAGTTCAACACAGATCATCTCCATAGCAGACCCAGTCAAGATCAGGGCGACAGTGTCAGTTCAACACAGATCATCTCTTTAGCAGACCCAGTCCAGATCTTGGCGACAGTGTCAGTTTCAATACATATCATCTCTATAGTAGACCCATTATAGATCAAGGCGGTGGTGTCAGTTCAACACAGATCATCTCCACAGTAGACCCAGACTAGATCATGGCGACAGAGTCAGTTCAACAAACATCATCTCCACAGTAGACCCAGTCCAGATCTGGGCGGCCATATCAGTTCAACACAGATCATCTCCACAGTAGACCCAGTCCAGATCATCGCGGCCATATCAGTTCAACACAGATCATCTCCAGATCAGGGCAGACTCAGTTCAACAAACATCATCTCCACAGCAGACCCAGTCCAGATCTGGGCGGCCATATCAGTTCAACACAGATCATCTCCATAGTAGACCCAGACTAGATCATGGCGTCCATATCAGTTCAACACAGATCATCTCCATAGTAGACCCAGACTAGATCATGGCGGCCATATCAGTTCAACACAGATCACCTCCATAGTAGATCCAGACTAGATCAGGGCGGCCATATCAGTTCAACACAGATCACCTCCATAGTAGACCAAGACTAGATCATGGCGGCCATATCTGTTCAACACAGATCATCTCCATAGTAGACCCAGACTAGATCATGGCGACAGAGTCAGTTCAACACAAATCATCTCCATAGTAGACCCAAACTAGATCATGGCGGCCATATCAGTTCAACACAGATCACCTCCATAGTAGACCCAGACTAGATCATGGCGGCCATATCAGTTCAACACAGGTCATCTCCATAGTAGACCCAGCCCGGATCGGTGGAGACTGTGTCATTGGGCTCAGGTCGGAGGAGGAGATCACACTCACGTGTTCCACTGTTGTAGTTGACACCAACACAGGTTCCAGGCAACATGCACTGCAGCACACAGGACACTCGGGACGAGGCAGTTGATGATACGATGGCAGAGGAGACGAGTCGTGTTGCTGATGCAATATGGAAACTTAACCCCCGACAATCTGAAATGTAGAAATGTAATGGAAGTACAATATCGCTGACTGTCAACAGTGTACGCATTGTTCTTTTGTGACTCATACGCCTAAGACGGAGTTTTGGAATGTGTAATTACAATATGACAAATTGTGCACTGTGGAAAATGCACAGTATTGATCATATATTAATGTAGGCGCCTTGCAAGACGATGCAGTCAGTCTTTGTTGAGTCAACATTTTCTAAATTGTCTTTTGTCGTATTTTTTGTTGCGGGTTGTATGTCTTTGTCTTTTGAAGATGATTATACAATTTAGAAAATTGACATCAAGTTTCCGAACTCAGAGGTATTCTTATCATGTGACTTATTGATACCGAACTTTCTACCTGTCTCCACTCCATACACTTCAAGTTCACAGAAGCTGAGGATATCATGTTCATTTCTGACTGTGGGTTTCCATAGCCTGACGAACCTCCCGAAGACCGGAGCATCACACACAACATTCTCAATGGATCCAAACGTGCCAGTGTAGTTCTTACAGAGGGAGAAACCTGCTGATGGACATCGGGATGGATTTCGTACATACACCTCGATTACAAAGTCATGGAGTCTGTCCCCTAAAAGGAAATCATTAAATCATGTACAATAAGTACCATATTGAAGTTCAGCATAAAGTATTTCGGTTCAAGCATGAATGATCAACACATTAAGAAGCTAATTAATTCACAGTTTGAAATAACTGAATGCAGAAAAAGGGGGATCGGGTAATTTTTGCACAGCTCAGGGCTTGTGACCCCTTTATACGCAGCGCAGCCAAAGAATCTATTCTCCCTGGAGACTGTTGAGGTGAACCCGCCGAGAACGTTTCGGAGAATGTGTAAACTCCCACCACTACTACCTTCTGCTTTACCTAGAGTTTCAGGAGGGTTGTGTTCCTGGCAACAAACCCGTGTACTCTCCCAGTTTCAATCAATTGATTGGGAGATACCAAACCTAAGGCATATATACTAGCCACATAAAGAAACTGTGCATTGTCAAAAATATTATCCCAGTTGATAAGTACGATAACAATGTCAAAGTACGTCACGAGTCCACAAGCGGGACAGGGGTCAAACGACCATGTCACAAGCTCAATAACGGGTATGTCCACCATCGGCATTGAGAACAGCAGTGCAACGCTAATTTCCTGTTGCAGACTAGTCGTTTAGGTTGATGTACTTGTCGAATTGAGTAGATTCTTCTATACCCAAACTCGTCCTGGTTGTAACAAAAAACAAAGCTGACAGAGTTTCCTTAGAGTGGAGTTTCGAGATACTAGTAAGTATTCAAACATGCAGCCCTCCGCTCTAACGTTAAACTATGATGAGCAAGGGCTGACACGACAAAGCACCTATGAGACGGCACATTCACACACTATCAAACTTCAAACATCTGTAGAACCCTTCTGTATGGCCGCCTGGTATTAAGTGGACAATGAGAAATAATTTAAATCAAAGGATGGATTTTGAATGAGGGTTGATAACAAAGGGGCAATGAAAACGGGGTGGAAGTAGTAAAACTGTAACCTACCACAACAGTCTCCTCTGTTGTAGATGGTGACGTTGTGGACGTTGTACTGTCCCAGCAGGTCCACAGCAAACCAGGGCGACATGTCACCATATGCAGTGTGAACGCAGTCACCACCGTAATAATCAGTGCCATGACTGCCGGCCACACCATTAGCAGCGACTGCGTCTGGCCCATGGACGCTGCTCATCCATGCTGGTTTCTTCGCCGCCAAGTTCAAACTTTGTATTTTGCACACTGCAAATTGAGATTTTAAGTTCTATAATGCAAATATGTTTACGATAATTTATTAAAAAAGGAATCAAATGTGATATACCAATGAATAGTCCAACACTTGGATTTGCCCTGTCCAGGGCACACCACTACTACTTTCTTTACACTACTTCTTTTGTGACATAGAATCTCCACAATCACACGATACATATCTTTTGCTCAAAACGATATAGTTTCATTGAAAAGATAGGGAACGTTTTGAAGCAGTATATGCGTTCGATGAAAACGTTTCCTTCAACATGAGGACCATCTGTGAAGCCTTTTGTCTTCTCTAGTCGGTCCTGATGTATAAAATCATGCCTCGAAGCGAAAGCATCAGATATCAAAAGGATTTCTGCCACTTATTCGGTTTAAACATATTTATTTCCAAAAGAGGAACCGGATTGGTAAACAAGCAATCTGGTGCTTATATGAATACCGCTCCGGGAGTTTAGCCCATAAACATCTTACTCACGACCGTGTGTAAAAAAAACAAACGTAAGAACTCACCTTCTAAACATAAGACATGCAGAAGACAGATCATCATGGAGTAAAAGACCGGCATAATGTCGCAGATTAATTGGAGGCTAGTGATCCAGCGAGCTTGAGGTGACGGGATCGAGCCCACCTGGGACCGGGTGTAAAAATCTTGGAGTCAACTTCGTGTGCAGACTCTTTCAGTGTTGTCACAACCCCTAGTGTGCATGTACAAGAACCTACGAATCCGTTGGTATATGACCAGATGGTGGCCACATAAATAGTGCAAACACCAAGCTGCGTGTACAGCAACGTGCAGTAAACTTGGACAAAGTACTATGACTATGTGTCCCAGTCCACCCAGCTGTGAATGGGTACCTCGTAAGGATGGGAACGCCACAATAACTCGGTGCGCCTAGTGGCTGCAAGAGTTGTATTATCCCCAGGGAGTTGAGATTAACAATACGATGTTGAGATTGACATCCAGTGAACGAGGGAAAAACAAAGCGCCTTTGAGGAGCTGAGCTGGATATCGGCGCTATACAAATGTTAGTATGTATGTATGCAATTCTACTAACAACTTGCAGATACAATTATCTTAAAGGAACTGAAGACATAAATTAACAGTGTTCAATATGCGTGTACGTAGTTAAATACAGGCGTGGTATATAAGATCAATAGAAGGCTGCTGCTCACATTATTGCTCTTCATCGTGGTCTCGACGGGACTGAGATTGTTATTACTTAAACATGTTTATACTTTACAAATGGTGAAACGTTGCATAGCATCAATAACTGGGTGTCTTTGACAAACACATCTTGTATCCCAACGGCTAACCTACACTTGTGCACACTACACATGTATACTTACAAAAACAGTTACGGTAACTAATGAAGTACAATTTACATATGTTATACCATGGCATCTGACCACAATGAAGTCTTGATTATCGACCAAATAATGTCGAGAGGACCTGTCAACGAAAGGCAATAAAACAACTAGAATCTCAAAGACGAAGACGTTAAGCTAGAATATAAATCTGAAACTTACTTATTATTAAAGACCATACAATATAAGAACAGGCTATAGATGGACAACAATTAAAGGTTGATTACAGTACTTGCGACGATAGGGGCGTACAGAGCACTGACCGCCACTGACCGCTGCGTCCATTGGGCATGAAACGAGTGTTGACTTGAACGTTTGCCATAGTGTTTCTCAATGGAGAAACAAGGAAATCTCCATACTTGTCGTTGGCATAGTTCACTCAATTAAAATTCAGTTTGTAGCAGATGATATGAATGTAGTTCACCCAGATCAAATATGATTGTTAGCAAGTGGTATGATTATCAGTTTTCTTGTGAAATATGTTCACCGGTGGTCATGAGATTGCTCTGATTGGTCCTGATTGGAGTGCTGGGTGAAGTCACAGCCAAAAGCAGGGGTAACAAATTCGGGGTCGTCCCACTTGTCCGGTCAGGTAATCCGATGTAATCCGGATTAAGTGTTGCGCTTGAGTTGCTGGCCCGTTATAGTCAGTTTCAGTGAGCTCAGTTCAGTTGGCAGTCAATTCTTACCTATTGAGTGAACACTGTTCTACTGATAAGATGACATGTTATTTTCCTATCCTTATGCACGGGAAAGCCTATTGATAAATTTTCTAGTGTCTGCACTTATTAACACAGACTTTAGCCAAGTATATACATTTGTACCAGCTAAGTCGAAATAGACTATATTTTCACTTCTTCTGAAAACATGAAGTATATCAATAATGTTAGCACCCACGAGGAAGATCACCTGAATTGTGTCTCAGACCATCTGCCCATCACAGCCAATCTTGCCTTACATCAATTTCCCTTTAATAACCAAGCCAAACTTCCTACTATTTCTCGGACACGTTGTGATCACTTGGTTTTACAATCGTACATATCAAAAGAACTTAATAATTCTCCCATACCAGACTTATTTCACTGAAAGTGACATAGACACCTACTACGACAGGATGGCTAGTATAATAACTTCTACTTCGGCCTCGATTTTGCCAGAATCTAAATTCAACCAACATGCGAAACCATACTGGACCGCTTGGGATGCTGCCTGTTGTTTACTGTTGAAACTGTCATGCAAGTGTGAGTGTTGATCGAACTCAATATACGAACATGACGTCACGATGGCTGTCGGACGTGTCTCGGAGAGCTCCTGTCTAGGCATGTAAGTTTTTCTACTTTGGTGGATAATGGAAGTGAACCAGCTGTTTTAAAAGTCATTATCGTAAACATCACGACCATATTAGTCGACCAGTGTGCTTTTCATTAAAGGATGGAAATCTTTAAGACGATTTTGGACAGATTGTCTGCAAGCCAGGATTGGTATCATTTTCCATGTTCAGCGGCCATGTCAGTCATAACATGACAGGACAACACGATCTCAGCTGTGACGTTTCATATACTACATGCTGTCTGTTAAGGTGAGAAGCAACCACTATACTGGGTAAATAAACTATATCCATATTGTGCACGAACTACTAAAATATATGGATAGCTCTACACCTAAACGACAAAGAGACGAAGTGTCAACATCGCCCGAACAGATTGACGTCGACTATAAACGCCAGTGTCAAGCGAACTCTGTATCGGATATATCAGACCCATCTTTTAATATGAGTGAATCCGAGACATCGAACACTTCTATGAATATGGATAATTTTGCAGAAAAACTTGTTCAGGCCTTTCAAAATGACAATGTATTGAAAGTGATAGGCTCAGTAGTAGCCGAGGCGCTGCGCCCTATGATTCGAGAAGAAATCGAACAATTGACAGCCAAAACCTGGAACTGGAGGGAAAGATTGATGACCTAAACTGTAAACTTAAAGAGAGAGATACTGTTATTGAGACATTAACTGAGAGGTTAGACCGAAGTGAACAGTACTCTCGCAGAAATAATCTACGATTTAGTGGTATCCCTGAGGCAGAGGGGGAAAATACCGATAGGATTATAGTTTCACTGGCAAAATCAATTGGGGTTGACATAAGAGAATGTGACATTGACATCAGTCATAGTGTGCCCAGACGTCCCACCATCCCACAAGAAAGTCCACGCCCAGTGCTTGTGAGGTTCATAAGCAACGCCACTAAGCGTCTGCTATTACAATCCCGGTCAAAACTGAAGAACGTAAGAGCACTGGGAAAACAAAGAGTCTTCATAAACGAAGATTTAACTAAATCACGGGCCACCATAGCTCGTGATGCACGTCAAATGGTTAATGACCGCAAGTTTGAATCTTCCTGGGTCACAGGAGGGGTCATCTTGATAAAGCTCAAAGATGGCAGGGTGAGAAAGGTCGCAAACCCCACTCAGTACAAGGAAGCCTGCGATTCCACGAAACTTCTAACAACTATTAGTCTTAGCCAAGAGAAGGTTGTGAAATCATAAATAAACGCTCATTGGCTCAAGAGATTTCGTGCTACTTTGTATAGTTAACATATATGTGGTGCTTTGCCTCAGCATGCATCTAGTTTGTTAGTGCATGCAACGTTGACATGATCTATGCTCAGCATGTATCATGATCATTTCAAAATGGGTAACAATTTGTCATGTTTTATTTTAACGCAACAAGTCCAACGTCTTCGCCTACACGCAGTCAAGATGCTTTGCATTATTCCCACGTGCAGTTAGCAATGTTTTCACTCGCTGATGAAGCGTTTCTATACAGTATATATGTGTCTTCAGCTTATTCTGTGCTGAAAATGTGTTTACGTACAATGTTTGTCTCCCGACCGGTGTCATGATATCATGTAGTAGTAGATACAATGATTGTCCGGGACCAAGTCCAACAAAAAGCCTCTGCAAAGCCTTATTTCCCAAATAAGGCTTTGGTCAGACCCTTAGCTCTTGCTACCATTGTATCTACTACTTTTGAGCCCCCCGTTGATTTCCCGCCCACACTTGGCACTACTGTGACACTAATATACCTATAGAAAGATAGAAAGGTTCTAAAAAAGTAGTAAAATGTCCCCGGCAGCCACAATTCCCCAAGGGTGAAATCGAAAGATGATGTTTCGCTTCTCCCAAGGGGAATTGCGTCGGCTGCCTTTCTCTCGCCATGAGAGTGCCCCGCTCAGCTAAGCCCTTTTCAGCGACCCAACTGATATGATCTTGATTCCTTACCGAAACACCTCACATCACACAAAGTTGCAAGGAATCTCCTGAGGCAACGGCGGGATACGAACCCACATGTATAGCTCGCGCAAACTATACATAATGGGCCGCACCACTCAACCGATTGAGCTACCGGGGACTTAGCTGGAGTATCTCGGTTTAACGGGTCTATCTTGGGATTGCATCATCTATGCCGTGTTGACAGGAGGTAACATTGTGCCGTACGGTACGATCAATAATTCCTGTCTAACGAGCCCTCTACCTGGCCCATCCCTCAAGTAGTACAAGTTAGGCTCGTCTGCTTTCATGTCCACTTTATCTATGTTGTAAGTTTTGACTGACCATATAGGATCGGTGGCTCGCTTACGGCTATCACCCTCATGTTCCCCCCGGCTGGTATAGATACCTCACTAGGGCCCTATCTGGTATCTGTTTCTCTTTCCCACGCAATGGAGCAGCCGACTCTGCCACTATTGATTTTAGTTTGATAGCGTCTGCCGGTTTCTTGCCGGTGAGACGGGTGACTTCATGGTTGATTGCCGACACCACCTTAGGTAACCTCGCGACCCATTCAGTCGATCGCTTCCCCGGGTTGGCCATCTCCCTAGCATACTGATGTCCGAATAAGCGCTCAGCCAAAGTCCTATTAAATCTCTCAACTATGGCTTGGCTGCAATGGGCTCCGGCCATGCCAAGCCTGACCTTTGTATCGTGTTTGGCTAGCAGTTGTGACACGACACCCATGAACTCCCGCCCGGGGTCAACTTGCAGCTCTGTTGGCCACGTCAGCGGACTGCGTTTGTATATGCGTTCGAATCCTCTGGCTACCTGGGCAGAGTCTTTCGCAGTCAAGGGTTCGGCTTCTTTGTAGCGACTGGCTACGTCCACTACAGTTAAGGCATACTTGTACCTCTTGTCGTGGGGTAGGAATAGGAGGTCGGCCTGGTGAACGCTATTGGGAATGTTAATACCGAACCTCCTTCTAGGAATGTAGCGTGGTGCCGGTAAATAGATCTG